TGCAATATTCCTCAATATGAAGATTTTCCTTGTGAATAATTTTCTTTTTCTTATATCAGTGGATGACTTCCCATCATTATCTGGAGAACCTAAAGAATTGGTTGGGAGCCCCAAGAGCAGGTTTCACTGCAAAAAGATAGAAATATTTGTGCAATCTGCCAAGGAGAACTTTCAGAACCAAGCCCATATGAAGGAGAAAAGAAATTATTGAAAAAAATACTATCATTCAAGAAAAAAAAAGTGCCCCTTGAAGGATGGCCATGCACACACATGTTTCACCAAAGGTGCAAAGATATGGCCATTCAAACAGGAAATTCATCTTGCCCACTCTGCCATGTGGGAAGTGGTGGCTCAGCACCATCCCCCCCTCGACAGTCTTCTTCCCACAATGAAGGATCTGGTGGGTCTGGATCTGGATCTGGATCTTACCCATCTTCCCCACCATCATATGGAGCTGGATATTCCACATCATCATATGGATCAGGATATTATTACCCGCACAGCTACCAACAAGCAGTTCCCATGCAATCTGTAACCTTGGATCCAAGGTATCCAGCCCCAATAATTTATACAGGTGGAAGTGGACCAATACCCCCTGGGGCAATTCCAGGGCTCCCAAGTAGCAGAAAGTTGAAACAAATATATGGCCCAGACTACCACCATCCTGATTATCCTACAAGTTCTGATGACGACGAGTAGTTTGATTAGAAAATACATATTACTCACACATTTAGGTGTTATGTTACAGTGCACAAAAACATAAATATAAAAATAAAAATTAGAAAATGTATTACTTAATGGGAAATCAAAAAACAAAAATATAGCATCTGAAAATAAGCAAACAGAAAAAATGAAGTATAATTTGAAAAGTGTTGAGTAGATTTCAAGATTAGATTCTATATATTCACTTCTGATTTGTTATACACGACCAAAATAATTTATTCTAAGTCTGGAAATTTTCATTTAATTTGACTCAATTTTGATCCCATTATCTGCACTGTGCTCATCAAAAATTCCCCTTTCCTTGAGTTCTACTTCTTGATCTCTTTTCCTATATTGATTGGTGCTTTCAATTTTCTTACTTTCTTTTAATGGCCAATAGTTATATTCTGTTTCAATTTTTCTGGCTATATATCCCTCAAAATACCTCCATGTTTGCTGCTATGAAGTCTCTTATAAATTTTCTTGTCTGATCTTCAAAAAAAATGAGCTTTCTTGCTATTTTTTTGTTTTTGAATGATTCTCTGGCTTGGGTTTAGAGTCTGTTGATGATTAGCTTGGATCAGTGGAATATATCAGCAAGTGAATAAATATTGGAATTTAGATGGTATCTTGACCCAAGGTTATAATTGAGTTGAGTAGCATAAGGTGAAACAATGGATTTATTTGTGTAATATGAGGAAAGTGTCTCAATTTGTTTTTATGGGGGGGGGGGTTAAGTGAGGGTATTCTGGCTGGAATAACACCAATCTTATTTGAGACCAGAGAGGTTTGGTTAAAAGGAGTCCTGAAGTCTCTGATTTATGGCCACAAAGTTGTTTAATCAAACTCCCCATTGTGGAAAGAAAGGCGTGCCCTAGGGGATTTCTTGCACTCCTCTGCTCCGCAACACATCCTTGCTCCGGTTTGTAGTGTGGGGTAACTTGCTTGATGGTCTTTTAGGTAGGTAAATAACTAGACTTTTTTATCCTTTTGCTTGTAATACTCTAACTCTTTCTATCTCTAACAATTCTTTAGGCTAATACACAATTCACTCCTAAGTCACTCTGTTTTTCCAATATGTTCTGAGTCATAAACTCCACCAGCTGTCCCACACACTTCCCCCCCCCCCTCCTGCTTCCCACTGTCCTCTGATGTCACTCCCTCGCACTCTGCTCTTCACCCCTCCGACACCCGCCAGCCCATGTACTACTCCGGCTGCTATTCAGACAGGTATCCCACCACCGCTTACGCCTCTGATCCGGCCGTGCCAAACCCTGCTTACGCCTCTTGGTGCCCCCGCTCCTTCTTAGCCCCTTGGCAGTCGGCCGTGAACCCTGAAGTCTGCCAGTGCCCGGATTCCCGCAGTAAGCTTTTGGAACCTTGTGCATTCAACCCCGCTCAGCCCGCTGTGGTCATTATTCCTGTGTATGAAGGAAGAAAATTCAAAATTTTATTATTTATCAATCAAGGAATCAAGATATGGACAAATGGACGTCAGAAATGGAATCTATGGCCAATTTAACCCCTAGTCACTCACTGGAACCACCTTCATATCTCTACTGGATCAGAAGTTACGCAGAATCAAGGATGTCACACGGAGAATCACAGGATCAGAGGCACTCAGCTGGAGGGTATATTGCATGGGGGTATATTGCATATTGCATATTGAATTCCTTTTATCAATATTGAATTCCTTTTATACTTACAGAACCACAAGTTGGCCACCAGTTGTACCAGTTAAATTCCCATTTATTCAGCCACAGAACACATGAATTCCTTTCTTACAGCTTGCATATAAAAGGGATGTGTTGTAGATAGTCTAGCAAAAATCCCTCAGGATTTTCAAGGATAGGGCAGCTAAAATGCCTCATACAGGGGGTCCCTTGGGGCTAAAATCCCTCATATTTTACTATATAAGGAGGCCTCTGCCTGCCAGTTGTTTCCCTCCTCATCCCACTGAGTACACATTTTTTGGTGGGACACCTGTCACAGATATTTATTACACAAGAGGTTCACAAGTAGTACAGTTCACAGTTGAGATATATACACAGTTTCACAAACATTACACAGAAGAGCCAGTCCTTTGTTCCAGTCCTGGTTGAAGCATAGTGCTCCCAGGCCCTTTGGGTTCAAGAACCACCTCTATTACATTATACATATACAGCATCAAGGAAGAGCACGAGTATCAAGAAATCAGACGAGAAACAACATCACCAACTCAATCAATTCTTTGGACAACAAGATCAATCCTCAACAATTATACAACCATCTTTGAACATAATCCATTATCACCAACCAACCTGCCAAGCTTACCTTGGTGGTCTTGTTTTCTGATAATATAGAAAGGCAGAGTTTGCAGCTCATTTCATCCCTTTCTCCATTCAGCAAAAAGGATCTTACAATCACTTTTTGAGTCTTACACCGCCCTTTCTCACACCTTGGAAAGATTGACTTTCTACTTGTGCGTTGCCGCTTTCCTCAGCCTGCCGCATAGCGTCAGCTCCGCATGCTTTCCTTGTCAGCCGTGTGCATTCTGCACCCGCCCAAACAATTTGGCCTAAGCTTTGGCCCCTGTGCGCTCTCACCACCACACCATATGTTTCCCCCATTCACAAAGATTTGGGAAAATAGACAAAAATGCTATGGGATCATCATGCTTGTTTGTTAGTATGATTTAGCCAGTTATTTAAAAGTTTTCACATTGTTTGCATTGGGGCCATATTGTTGTTTGGCTTTGAAAAATTTAATTGGGAGTTTCTACCTGAAATTAAACATGAAGCATAACCCCCCTAAAGACATTTGAATTGCCAGTAGCCAACCTACCTCATGTCTGTCAGAATATCCGCTGGAGCTGAGACCAGCAAAAGGTAACATGTGGAAGATGCAAGCTTTGGTACCAAACAATGTAACCCACAGTGACATGGATGAAATTTACCCTAGACTTCTTGCTTCAGCCCCAACAGTTGAATCCAGTCATTAACCCCCAGGGGAATCTCACAAGTCTTGCATCCAAAATATCAAAGAAGACTACTATTGCCAATTGGACTGCAAATCAAACCCCTGAGCCAGACCTGTGAATATCTAAGGAGTTCAAATATTGCCAAACCAAGATCTTGTCCCCAGGATGATGAATACACTACAAAAAGTGCAGGGTAACATAGTGCAGCACAGCATAGCACCCCACCACTGAGACTATCCACATAAGATGATAAGCAGGTATAAATAAAATTCATCCTTATCTAGTCAAGAGCAGTTCTACAAAGTCATTTCAAAAAGGTCAAGTAAGCAATCAGATACTTTCTTATAAGAGCATCCACATTGGTTGAGTGGATGTTCTTAGACATCAACAACAGCTATGACACCAACACCAGCCCAGTTAAACTGGGATGTGATCAAACAACTTAAAATGGCTTTACCTCACCCAATAAGATCTTTACTGATGGTTTCTGATATGAGCCCAATGAGAACCCCCTTATACTCATTTGTTTTTCTCCTCTTTCTTGAACCCCATATAGATAGCATAAAAAAGGGCTACTTCAATGAAAAAAATAATCTATAAGAATATTATATTGAGAGAGTTCGAGGATGAGGAAAAGGAACCAATTAGATGATTATTGAGGAAGGGGAAAAAAGCAGGAGAAAGAGAATTGAGAAGATCATAAGAGCCTTAGACATTATCATCATCATCATTAAAGTACAAAAAAAATTATGTAGACCACCATCAGAGAGAAAACCACCCACAAACAACCCTAATGTAGAACAGGAGAAAGAAACTTTTGATGACCACAAACAAAAACAATGCTATTTGTATTTAGAATAGAGAGATGTTAAAAAGAGACTATTACTAAGGAGATCTAAAATTGATGGTAAGAGATTTATGTTTGTGTGTGGGAAAAGAGGAGAGAATATGGAGAAAAAGATGACTGAGGAGGGAAAAATGATAGAATGATAATCAGTAGTAGTGATATAAAAGAAACCATCTTATCTTCTTCTATATAAAATTCTTGTTCTTTTTGTTTCAACTATTTTTTAATCACTTGCAGAGAGAGATAAACATAGACATATTGATTGGTGGAGTAGGAAAAGAAGAAACTGTCTGTCCATTTATGTGTTTAGTTAGTAATCAAATCTTCATGACAATCAACCACCACCCCCTCCTTTCCTTCTCTTTCCTATTCCATTCCATTCCTTGTTGTTTTGAATCCCTTTCCCATCTGTCCTTCCATTATCCATCCCTTTCCATTTTCTTTTTTTTTCTTGATCATTGATATCACAATAGAAAAGAAAACAAAAAAAGCTTAATTGTTGCCGGCAAGAATTTGATCGATTTGTGCATTGATGAACGCTTTTTTGTCGTTCAAATTTGCACTAAAACATTCAAAAAGGGCTGAATTAGAATCAATTTCATTCAAAAGAGTCAACAAGAGAAAGCAAGACGAACTTAGGAAACCAATGATTAAGGGCCTCACGGACGGAGCGTTTAGTGATTTTCATCAGATCTTGTTGAGAGAGATAGATTTTGAGGGTTTCAATGATTTGTTCTTCAGTAGGATCAGTGCTCATGTTCTGGGTCAACGGCTGGTTGATGACTTGTTGTTGAGGAGGACCACCCGCAGGTCCGGTTCCAGTCCCACTTCCAGTCATCTGAGCTCCGATCGGATAAGCCATCATTCCTCCTGGACCAACTCCATTCATCGGATTGTTCATCATCATCATCGATGGTGTGCCTCCTAATCCCATCATCATTGATGGATTACCTGGCATAATTCCTCCTGCTCCTCCCATACCAAACATACTAAAAAATAAATTTCAAACAATTAGTGTCACTTTTTTTGAAAGGATTAAATCAACTACTCACCTCATGTTTCGAGCATGATGATCCATTTCTCCATTTCCTCCACTACCACCCATAGGCATCATAGAAGGATATCCAGGACCCATAAACATACCCGGGGTGGCTGTCCCAGGATTACCGCCCATAAAGTCCATCATCGAGCCGCGTACCGAGCCAGCACCCCCGACCCCATTGAAAACGCTCATAGCCGCCTGTTGCTGTTGGGCGGCTCTAATGCCAGCGAGTGAGATCATCGATTGGTGTTGGTTGAGACCAGGTTGGTAGCCGCCAAAGTCGTTCATAGCTTGTCGGTTGAGCCCGGCCATCGTGCTTCCACGTTGAGAGGGCGAACGAGAGTCAGAGCGGTTGTAAGAGCCGGGCGTGGCTAGGTTCATCCCGCTGGCCCGATACATAGTCGAGCGGGGATGGCCGTCGCGATAGTAATCACCGCCTCCTTCCAGTCCTCCGCCCATCACACTGCCGCCAGCGCCCATCATTCCCATTGGTCCCATCGGTCTGCTAGCCATGCTGAACCCGCCTACACTCTCAGGCCGACGTCCGTAACCTCCTACACCTGCTGCTCCTCCAGCCCGACTCGACTTGCCATCCTCATCCCACATTGCTGCCTGATAGTCGCTGAACTTGCGTAAGGGGATCATCGATGGATCGAAACCGACATCATCCGTATCTGCCAAGACTTTCTTGTGTTTACCTTCACCAACGACCACACGTGTGTTTCCCCAGGAGAAATCATCAAAGTGCCAGAATGAGTAAATCGGTAGGAAGAAGGACCAGATTGGATAGGCCATCAGATAGATTAATAGCCAGAAGATTAGACCCCATTCCCGTTTCAAAAGGAAGATTACCGCTTGGAGGCCATAGACTGCTGCAATGATTACCAGGGATACGATCGGGATGGCGGCTTGCTTGGTGGCGACGATGACAATCAGATAGATGATGTAGACGGTCGTTGAGGGTAAGATGATCGTCCCAACGAGATCCAACATCACAAAGAATCGCATCGAGAAACAACAGAATCCACACATATCTTCCAAGAACATCAATTCACCCAAGTTGTGAATCGTCGAATTAATCCATCGTCGTCGTTGTGAAAGTAAGACTGCCCAGGTCTCTGGTGCGGCTGTCATGGCAGTTGCGTCCGGAATGAACTTTGTTTTGTAATGAGGGAAGTGTTTCATCAAAAGTGTTGTAAAGAATCGATCCTCTCCAAGTGAGAATAAATTCTTCTTATGTAAAGTCTGTTAAGAGGACGGGATGAGAATCAGCTTTGTTGATGGAGGGATTTGAGGTGAAAAAAAACGACTTACATCGACATGGATCTCAGCATATTCATCGATGATCAGGTTAGAGACAACCAATGGTCTACCCTTATCAGCCGACCGAATTCGATAGAGGGTGAAACAACCGGGAAGACAAGTAACACTACCAAATAGTGACTCAAATGCCTTCGACAGATGGTGAGAGATATAATACCTAAGGCACATTGTCGGTAAGTGAATCTACAGTACAATCAAGGAAGGAGGAAAAAAGCTCAACTCGTAAACTTGAATCATCGTCCACCACGAGACTTTTTCGTTGGATAGTTTTGTCTCCCCACAAATTCCAATAATCCTACCATCATCTGAAGCCGCAGAAACTAATCGATTCAAAGCATCGGGATAGACCTCAGTATCGGCATCGATAGTGAACAAAAACCTGCAAAAAACCTCATCAATTAACATTTTCTGTATTGTTTTGTGTACAAAAAAGGGAATACGTACTCGTATAATTGAGGTTCAACGCCGATGACGTTCTTGATTTGATGGCAGATCTCTAACTCGAGAGGACACATAGGAGCATCGAAGTGGATGCGATTAAGGAATCTCATCAAAAGGATTTGAGAGTCACGTTTACCACGATTACCGGGTTTAGAGCGTTCGGAGGGTTTACCGACTTTGACGACAACGACGTAGGGCACCACATGACCATCAACCTCATAAAGACCAGAGTAAACTTTACCATAGTTGAGTTGTTTAGAGCCTTCAGAGACGGATTGAAAGAGGAGCGGATCTGGGTCGATCGACGGATCAACTCCGAGTAGGTCGAGTACAATCCTTGGCGTAGGTTGATCGTTCCCTGAACCAATGATCATCCCGTCACAGATTACAAAGATCAGCTTGCGTTTGTCGTCGTACTTTAGAGTCGCCAATGAGTCGATCGTCTTGCGTAATGACTCCTCTCCCTCCGTGTAACACGGCACCTGACAGATAACAAACTTGTCCCGTAGCTCCGGCATCCGCTTCGTCCCTAGTTGTAAGGCCGCTATAAACTTCGCAACGACAGCCGCGGCAATCAGGATCGTGAATGCTAAGAGGATGTAGTTCGCAACTGTGCACTGTGGACCTTCTCTAAAGTCGGTATCACCCAGATAAAACATGTTCCTTAGACAAGCTAGCGAGGCCGACTTTTCGGTGTCATTGAGTGGCAGGGCATTGATTTCTTTCGTAATATCCTGACCGGGTTGTTGTTGGAAAAGATCGGAGATCGACTTATCGATGTACTGGAACTGAGGGTTCCGATTCTGAGTATTATACGTGTAGAAATAGTCCGATAAATCGTAGACCCCGCCATCGTAGATCCCAATCGATCGATTGTTGGCCAATCCGGAGATCAACTTATGGCCGTAGACGATAGGACCTTTATAAAAGTTGGTCATGAATGGTAAGAATTTTTCTAAATACCATTTGTCGTTGGCCAGAGCTGATGATTTAACGACTTGAGCAGAGCCAGAGACGTGCACAGCATTTGGGACGATGGCCGTCCAATTCTCGAATTGGAGATTGACCGTATCTGATTGAACGTTAGGACAAGCCAACTTCAATGGGACGGGGAAATAATTGGTGAGGTCCTGTCCGGCCAGAGATAACATATCCCCGTTCGTTACCGGTTGAGCGGTAATATCCGAATGTTGTCCCTTCCAAAACTTCCCTAGATCAAATACCTGCCCTCGAACACCAACGTAAAAGTCACTTTCCGTGGCGTGATATCCTAATTCGGTTGGATTCCACGCTTTCGCCAGGTTGGGACACATGATTTTGCCTAATCCCAGGATGACGAACCTGGGAAAAAAGAGTGATAAAACTGATGAGATTGCGACTCTCGCTTTAAATTTATAGAAAGAGTGAACAAAAACAAACTTACAAAACGGCACCACACATCAGGAAGATGATCATACAGAGCGCGACTTTTTCACGCCAAGCCATTTGAACATCTGGGCGCTTCATCCGCCCCATCGTACTCAAAAAGAAGTTGGGGATATAAAACGTGAGAGCCCAGACGATGACAACCCACCACATCCTTGCCTTACTAGACTCAACCTCTTCGAGGGTCTGGTTCTGATCTGGCTTGAGGAGGACGTCATCGGTAGCGCCGTCGCGGTTAGTGTTCCCGTCGATCTGGTTGTGTTTGATCAAACCGACATCCATGTAGCGGGACTCCTTGTTGAGCATATCTTGCTCCTCGGGCTGCTTGGATTCCCACTCGGAGCCCCAGACCCGACTCTGCGCCGGTCCATCCTGGTAGCTTCCTCCATGAGAGGGATCATGAAGTTGGCCTTCACCACCAAAGCCCGGTGATTGTGGGATGTTGCGCTCGGCTTCGTAGCCCGAGTGGGGACGATCTTCACCACTACCGCTCCCGCTGGTGACGAGATGTTGATAGGATCCGCTGCCCCCTCCTCCAAGATCTCCCCAGCTGTCCAGTTCACGAGGACTACCTCCGGGGATATCCACCCCAGCCAGATGTCCAGCGATAGGTCGGGGTTGGGAACCCGCAGGATGCTCGGCCAAGAGTCTCTCTTCCAGCGATTGGAAGGCATGAAGGGTGAGCCAGACTCGCGACCGACCGATGGCAAAGTCTTTGTTTTCTTCGAGCATCAAGCCAGTCGTCAGTTGTCGACGAAGATCGGTGGCCTCGGTTCCCTCAAGCCTAAATCGGATCGAAAACATGGTGAGATCAAAGTCGAAGGGATAGTCAACTTTCTTTCGAGCAATCAGCTCTGGAATTCTGAAGGAGTTGAGTTGATGTTCAACTCGGACTGGGTCCCAGTCGTTTGCATAGAGCTCGTCGTTCGGTTTGAGGTTGAGTACGTGCCATACCTGACATTGACTGAAGTGGGAGATAAATTGGGAGAGTGTGGCATTGAGTTGGGATAGGGTGGGTTGGACGACGGAAGTATCGAGGAGGGCGACGGTAGAGTCAAGTGGGGTACCTCTGGGCGAGCCAGGTTCGAGGGAGACGTGAGGATGGGTGGGCAGGATCGGACTTGGGCGACGGAGGGGACTGGAGGAGACTTGAGCGGCTACGAGCACGCTGGGGTCGAGAGGATGTCGGTCGAGTGCGAGGGATGGACCGGAGAGTAAGCGAGAGACGAAACTATCGCTACTGTTTCGGAGTAGAGTGACGAATTCGACGTCCACCAAGCCAAGATCGGCTTGGATGATTCCGGTGGCATCGTAGCTCACCGGACCGGACCAATGTTGAATACCAAAGACAGATTGAGAAGTGGAATGACTCGGACGAGAGATGAAACTAGGGTGGGAGGCAAAGTGGGAACGCATGCCATCGAGTACGTCGTTATCAGCCTCCTCCATTGTATTGTATTTCCCCTTGCGTTGGGAGTTGGAGGTCTTTGCTAATCCGCCGATGATCCCACCCGGTTTGCTATCGGCCTTACCGCCCAAGAGTCCACCTCTTAACATCTCTAGACGAGAGGAAGAGAGATCCTGTGATGAGTCGATCTGATGGATTTGGATTCCATCGGCTGCTGCTCGTGAGCTCTGTGGGTCGAAGTGTTGGTTGTTGAACCAGGTGTTGATGAGTTCGGTCTGATAGTTGATACAAAACTCTTCATAAGCTGATGCTCCGAAGGATTTAGCCCGACCAAGGAGGGTGTTACTCCGCTCGAGTTTTTTAATGGAATGACGACGGGTGGGGAAGTCGCTTCCGGAGCCAAGCATGTCAGCCAATTCCTCGGAACGGCCCTGAGGCCCTGGGGAGTCGAATTGGAGGATACTCGAGCCGCCTTGTGCTTGGAGGTCGTTAATGAACCCATCACCCGGGAAGAGCTTATGATTGGCGGTCTCGACGACATAAGCAACGAGGACGCCGTAGAGTGCATTGGTGAAGTCGTCCCTCTGCTGAACTGCAGCCTCCGGTCTGAGGAGGACGGTGACGGTCTCCTTGCGGATATACTGGACCCGATTGGTGAGGACTCGGGCCAGGTCCTGGGATGGGAGACCAAGTAGATCGGAGACAAGTTCGAGTGTTTCGAGATTATTGACGGAGGCAGATTGATCCTGGAAGTCGCGCGACTCACTGAGTTCGAATTGGATGTTACCGAGTAGAAGGATGGCAGAGAGGAGCTTGAAGAGACTCTGGATGTGTTTAGGTTTGAAGCCAAGTGATTTGAGGGCTGCCTGGAGATCATCAAAACCGATTCGATCTGCGTCCGGACGATCGGGGATTCGATAGCAGGATGATGAGGCTAGTAGGTCGTAATGACTCGGGTCTGGATGAAGTGCGAGTGAGGTACGTTGATCAGGAGGGATGCCGGCGAGTAGTTGGTAGAAGATGTCGAAGGTTCGATCGTGAGATGATTTGAGTGGGATCCTCAATCGATTTCGTTCGAGGCCAAAGACGAGTAGTTTGGCACCAGCCAGATGGAAGAGGTTATCGAAGTGCAGTTCGAGTAGAGATGATGACCTGGATGCGCTCGGATTGAGGAGAGTTTTAGCGTTGGTGAACGAGTTGAGGAGGGTGAAGAGATGAGGGATCTGATCGGTCAGCTTGAGTGCTTGGGATGATTGTGAGGATGGACCGAGTGAGTTGAGTTGTGAGAGTCTGATGAATTGATTGGTGATCAATCGCATGCTAGTGGTCTTACCCGACCCAGAGAAACCGCTGTGAGAAGAAATGGATGGGGATAGGGTGAGTATGCTGATCAATTGATATCAGTGATGATGAAGGAGACAGACCTATAGATGATAGCCTGAGTCTTTGCTGTTCGTTTGAGTGAGTAGGATACATCGGATGCGAGTTGGTAGAGGTGCGGGGGGAGTGGGTTGGAAGATTGCTGTTGTTGCTGTTGTTCGTAGGCTCTCGCAGATTGGTCGTTGATGTCTTGAGTTGGTTTGAGTGGGTTGATGTGGAGTAGGATGGATTGGCCGATGAGGATGTCATGTAGTTCGGCTCGATGGCGGGAGTGTAGTACTGATAGTAGTTCTTGAGTCGAAGGTGGTTCGTCGTTTGAGATGAGCTGGGTGAGGTTACTGAGTTGATGATGATTCATGATGGATAGATGGATGGATGGATTGGGTTGGATTGGATTGGATTGGATTGGATTATTGGGATGGTTTACAAGGATAGCTTCTTGATGGTTTCCATTTGATTCTCAATCAACTCAAAGGAAGAACATGAAGGTGAGGATGAAGATGAAGATGAAGATGAACAGAGTGAACGCTCAATCGAGAGCTGACCCGATGAACCAGAGACCGACCGGATACCAGATCGGATCCAATATACTCGATAACCCAATCGGAGTGCAGAATGGGCGGTAGCACTAACGCAGTAATCTCCCGCCAAACCTAAAAACGAACATAAAGTCAACTTGTATTGCTCACTCAAAACCAAAAAAAAGACGAAAATCCAGCCCACCCATGCAGAACAAGTTACGAACACCTAGCGATCTCAAGTAATCATTCAAGAGATCATCATCATCTTCAGTCATAAATGCCGAATAATTCTCGACTTCTGGATCCGTGCCCTGTTACATATCAGTTTGAAGTGCACATATTTAGAGACTGTCAGTCGGGATCAGATCCTCGCCAGAAAGGAGATATCAACAACCTTTTCGATCACTTTGACTTCCCGCCCTTGACTTCGCAATCGATCAAGACGGTCTTGGATTCCAGAATCTAATTGACAGCCTTGCGTACCTTGAACCTATGAAGGAACCAAATACAGAAGATCGTTCATCCTTTGATTTGAAATACCTCTTTCTCTGAAGACTACAATATTGGCTTGAACAGAGAGAATGGATGCCCACACAATGGTCTGGCCAGAGATCGATCGTCTTTGATTCCACTTGACGCTCATCGGATGATGATGATGATGATGAATTAGGGATGCTCAGCTTAGTAAACGGTTGAGCATGATGGGTGGAAGCGAAAGAGATATGACTTGGAGGATGAAAGTCCTGTGATGGATCCGACCAAATCAATCTCGAGAACCAGCTTCAGTCTTGCTACTACTGCATGTGATGGGAGAAGCCTACCTTGCTAGCCACGACGGCCTTCCATTCAAGTCCTTCGTCGAGTAAGCCGTAAGCCGTCGGAAGGATCTCCGGGGCGGAAGGGACGGAGAGAGCACCATGAGGAGATAGGAAGTCATACTGGATATCGACGAGGATCAGGGCAGAGTTCTGGAAGCTGATGATAGCCTCATCCTCTGGCATCTCCTGCTTCTCGGCTACTGCCCCACTGGAGTCGACCTTCCCGTCAGCTACTGGTAGTTTCTTCTTCATGACCGGCTAGTTATTATCTTGGCGTGGTTCCGGGCGACTTATTGTATAACCTCAATCAACAACCAAGCCACTCGTTGCTCAGCTTGAAACCCAAAAATAATTTTAATAACTTTGACTCCTCAACTGCCCGATTAGCTTATCCCGACGGAAACAGCCTCGATGGATTGAATGAGATGATGACATCGTATCTCCCACCTTCTCGAAAATCTCGAAAGCTCTTCCGGGACCCCCTCCCCCGGTGCAGGTCAACCCCCGAGGAACTTTCCGCCCAAATCTCCTTCGCCGACCCTGAGTAAAAGACTAATTATGATATAACTTGAAGATATCTGCAGCAAGTCATATACTTATTAAGACAAGTTGTGAGTAGATAAGAATGCTTATCATCTTCTTGATTCACACGAAAACCTCCCTGACTTAAAAACACCCAATTTTTCCTCAACCAACCTTGTAAACAGCTCCACTTCAATTCCTACAGACAGCTTTTTTGTGATGATCATGAAATAATAAAGACAAATTATGCTCATGAAATAATAAAGACAAATTGTGCTATGTAGCATTTTAAGAAACAATCCATGACAATTGGCTTTTGATTGACTAAATAATACCGCTTGGATGGGAAGAGTCACCCCCCCCCCCAGCCAAAAAGCAGGTTTGGTTTAATCACCCTAGAGAGCAAAGGTTCATCCTTTGATTTTGTAATCTTAGTAAGAGTTCCAGATCAGGATTCACTCTGTTACTAAATTAAATAAGTCAGAAATGAAGCTCTGGATTTTGGTACGTGTAGGAGAGATTCAGGTCTGGTCCACAATATGACATCATTGGGGCCAATTCATATGAGTTGGCCCCATAGGGAGGGGGCAGTTAGATGCCACACCATCTACAAAATATAACTCCTACTCAGTAAATTGAACACCTCAACGAGGGGTTTCCTTGAAAATGAGCAAGCCCAAGATTTCTAATCGATGAGACATCTGTACATGTCACTCTAACTTAAGTGTGGCTATGCGCAAGAACTGGCCCTGTCGACCCTAACTCCAACAAGTTTCAACGATAGTTGCCCCTACATTGCAACTTTGTTTCCGGCCATGATAAAATGCTTCATCGAGCTCGGAGGGGACGTGAGATTAATGGTTCATAAACGGTAAATTCTCTCGATGCTTTGCCATCATCATACTGTTAACTTCTTTTTATTATTATTTGTTTTGGAGAGAAACACTGCGGTTGAAGACCTCCTGCCTCCACTCCTTTGTCCGTTTCTGCTTATAAATCGACTTACTCATCTCCAGTCATTATAACATCACTCCAGCGTACCCTCTCACTGATAGCAATTTGAAACGTCTGCTTTCAAACCTGCTGTTGTGCACCTCAAACTCAGCTTGTAGTTTTCTGTTTACCAGAAAATCCACATATTTAGTTTTGCTCAAGGCTAAATTTTGGATACCCAAACCTATCGAACGTGAATTGATTGACACCAAGGAGGCAAAGGTTTGGTCCTATAACTAATTTTCATTTGGAAATCTAACAAAATATTTGAATATTTCAATGCTAACTTGTTCAAAAACTTGTCCTTCATGATGTCTTTGCTCTGAACATCTAGCATATGAATATCAATCAGGTGTTCATTCTTGCCATCGCTGGCTTATCTTTATTTGCGTACCCGACCCTCGGTGCATTGACTAGTGCTAAATCCGCACAAAAAGCGGCCTCAACAGCTTCAGAAGGAGACAAAGCTGTCGGAGATTTTGGAGATATAGGGAGATCAACTAATCTTTTATCGAGAGATCCACCTCTCGATTCCCGGCAATCACTTAATGGTGAAAGAAACAATCTAGAAATAGCACAAGCTGCTTCAAATACTCGGACTCAACCAACTCCAGCTTTAGCGGCACGACCGGGGGAGAATCAAAATGAAGAAACTGAAGCTCTGAAAATTGTGCAGGAAAAGAGAATTCATATTGCAGCTAACGATATCTTGAAGGCGTTAAACGATGTCAAAGATTTAGAAAAACAATCGTCTCAAGGCACCTTGTCAAGAATTCTTTCTCATTTGAAGAAAATCCTCATGCGTCCCTGGAAGAAATTCATCGACAAGAGATTGCGAAAAGCTATAGCGCTCATCTTGAGAAATCAACCAGACTGGCTCCAGAGGTGGGCACATGAAGTAGCATCGTATCATCAAGTAGATTTGGAACATCGGGTCGTGGAATTCAACAAAGCTATAGCAGATAAATTGAGAAATTCTGCCAAACTCATTGAGAAATACCACCCTGAATTGATGGCTACCTACAAAGAAAATCATGGCAATAAATATCTGAAAGGAGCTGGGATTCATTTCTAGAAATACAATGTAACCCGGTTTGGAAAACGCGAATAACGAATATATAAAATAAATTTTTGTTTTGTTTCAGACCAAAATTATAGCATGTCAGCAAATTTTTTGTTTTGTACATTGCCTGTCCAGGCAGCAGCTTTTTTTTTGTATATTGCCTGTCCACATAAAGCCCTTGAATGGGGTTTGTCTAGCGTAACAGTAATCTCACATCCACATAAAACCCTGGAATGGAGTTAATCAACCATCAATGCATTTCTTATCGTCTCTTGCATAATCCTCATTGTTGTTGCTCTCAGATCATAAACGGTTTATATTCTCTGGTCTCTGTTTGTATTTAGTCCAATTGAAACTAGCTTTCATTTTTTGAGAAAACAGTATTGATTGTACTACTTCTTTTTCATCAATTAGTTGCCATTTCAGTGACAAATATTTATTACTGCCCTTTTCTTTCTGTGATATCTGACTCTTCAGGTTTTTGACCCTGAGTGCAAGTTGCAACATTTTAAGTAAAACTTAAAGCTAACTTATCTACTTGCAATTAGAAAACTAGAAATTCAAAATTGAACCTAACTATGATAACTGTTTCCTTCCTACCACTGAAGAATGTGTGCTATGTTATTAGCACAAGTCAGACACAGTAGGTAACCACAGGCAAAAAAATTTAAACCCCAAAGGTTTTCAGTTGTTTTCATTACTGGTTTGCAAAGAATGGTTAGCTTTGCTATCACATGGAAGCAGATAAAAAAGTAACAGTGGTGACCAAGATTGAGAGCAAAATACATAATGATAAACGTGCAGTGTAATGAAAAGCCAAGACCCCCTCTCCTTGTGGCTATGTATGTGCCAGATGTATCTGTCAATTGGGATTGTGGGGCTGGCACTACTTGCCGCAGTCAAAGTTAGCTTGCCTCTGCTGTTGCAAGCTTGCGGCAGTCAACTCAGACGATTCATACTCAACTCGAAGCCTTCTATGAATGTACAAAAATTTTCTGGCCTGTGCAAGATATGTTCCTAATTCCGGCCTTGGCACATCACTCAGACTGACATCAGCTAGTTTACAGCTCTATGTATCTGACAGGGATAGCCTTGTATACTTTGAGCATAAAAATTTAAATTTCTGACACAAATTCTATCCAGAAAGCAGTGCCCTTGGTCCCCTCACAGTCATTCATGTGCAAATTTATTTCCAGGCTATGTGCATGATGTAGTTGTAAGTCCGACCTTAGACATCCCTCAGACTGGCATCAGCTTCGCACTTGTGTGTCTGACCGTTATAGCTACATATTTTGACATACAAAATTCCATTTTTGATACAAATTCCATCGGGAAATCGGAGCTCTTGATCCCCTTGCCAGGGTGTATAGTGGTACGCCAAGGATTCAATAAGCTGGTCGGGTTTTGAAAACTGAAAGAAGTATGTCAAATGTGATGCTTCATCGGGACCATGCGTGTCCAGGGCGAAAACAAAATCATATCTGCCCGTCTATTGCGGGTTGGCAAAAGGTACTTAAGACCTGAATCGTGTGCTGACCTGGAGTTCCTCACCTAACCAAGCCAACCAATTTCAGTATCTTCTACTCAGTGCCAGCTCATAATGAAATCCACTACAGTTGCTAGCCTTCTTGCATTATCGCTCCCTGCCGTATTGGCCACAAACCATACATTATGTTATAACTACTTTATGAAAAAGGATGGGTGTGTTTTCTCTGCTGCAGCGCCTGATCAAAGATGCCCAGCTCCCCCTAAAGAGCACACCACTCCAGTCTCAGCAGTGAGCTCGCCATCATTTCCTTTAATTTTGATCAAATGACATCCATTCTGATTTGTTTTTACTTTTAAATCACGTAGTTTGAGCTTCAATCTGGTCCCAACTTGGTCAAGCGTAGTGAACCTCGCCGCTTAGAGCGCCGATATGACACCACCAGACCGGTTTGCCTCTTGTCTTTCCAAATCTATATCTATGGAGGTTAACAATTCTTCTCTACGATTTAATCAGAGCTTTGCGGTCGCCGGTGGCGAAGGTGTATGTTAATTTTCAATTTTCTTGCATGTTACACCATTTGAGTTTCAATTTTGTATTTTTTTTGTAGATATGTGGCTTTTACAATTCTACCAGCGAGCCCGGTGTCTGTCTCTGGAGTGGCCCAGAGCAAATTTCCCCAACTGTAGAAACAGCTGGATGGCTTAATGGGTAAGCAGGAGCTTTCTTTGCATCACAACCCAAAAAATAAAGAAACTGAAATGACTCCCCTATTTATCACAGTGCTAAGACCTCTAACTGCGGCAAACGAGTGTGAGAACCACTTAGATATTGAAATTAATCTTTGTGACTGACACAGGTGTATAAAACCAAATTTCAATTCTAGGTATATCCAAAGAAAAGGGCAGCCCAACACAGTTCAGTTTGTGAAGGTTCTTGATGGTAAGCTGATAATTGGGTATTCTTTGACATCTTTTGCTTTAAGTTTGGATATTATCTAAAGTTACATTGAAAACACAGGATGCAGCTTTGGGACCACACAGCCTGATCCAGGATGCTTTGACATTGCCCTCACTATTGCGGTGATTATCTCTTTCTCTCAAGTCCCATTATTGGGAAACTTGAAATTTACTGATATGTTATTATAAACTTCTCCAGCTCTTCAACAAATTTAAACCCACTCCTCAAGAAGAGAAAGATGGACTCTTGTATGGGGGAATCACCTGGGATTTGTGAGTTGAGGCTGAGCTGTGTATTTTTGTTTACTTTCTTTATTTAGTGAGATTATCAATGGCTTCATGAATATTTCTATTCTTTTCCAGCGATAACCTTGAAGGTACCCACACCCAACAGGCCCCTGTCTGAGAGTGCTCAAGATATTTCATTGTTTTGCATATCTAAATATTTCCCTCCCCTGATTTGTGGATTTGATCTCAGATGAGCCTGCCTTTCTTTCTTTTTATCATTGTTATATAAAGTGCTGGGAAATTGTCGAATCCATGATGTGTGATACAAGTATTTTCCTGAGCCTCTCATGTTTCATATGTAAAAATGGCTTGCATGTCATAGTTCAAGTCTGTCCCATAAAATAACTGAAGAGAAACTCTGAAAAAGAGGAGCCAGTTTTCTGCACTCCACTGCAAATCACCCCATCAAGTTTGCTACTTCTGGAAAAAGAAATCAAAGCCTGGAATTTCAAAAAGTGAGGTTTTGGTGGTTGATACCACATAGTGCAAGTTGTACTGCATTATTGATTGAGCACAGTCATTTTCTAATCTTTGTCTTTCAAATTTTGGAGAAATCACATTTAGAACAAGTTATTCAGAGATGATGGAGAAGTTGTGGGAGGTGGAGATGGTACCAGGAGGAGTGGAAGAAGTCAGACTACACAGTGTTGAAAGCTCCCATGCCTTGGCAGAGTTTGGGTGCATGGGGCAGCAGGAGATTGTCCCTCAAAACTTTGAAAAGCATCTTGCCAGAATTCAAGTTGCAAGTTCCTCTGTCAAGCCTCAGGCAAGGAAGGGACGCTGTTAACTTTTTTCCACAATGAGGATCTGCCCTTGACCTGACAGGCCCAGGGCACGTCGAGCTTAACCGTGGGACATTTCCTAGTCAACTTGCGGAGATTTGGACAGGTATGCAAGCCCGAGGGCACCCGAATCCTGCTTCGGGGATCGAGTCGGTCTCAAACCTAACCTATGGTGATGAGACCACCCAGATGTCCCCAGATGTCCGCAGTAATCGCGCAGCCGGTGGTTCTACACTCCTGCTTCGTCCCCCGCCACGGTCTGACACAGCCCAGGTCGGTATCCATTTTCCCCAGGACAAGGTCATCAAGATGAGGTGAGTCGATCGACCGAAGACCGTTGTCGCCATCAGCTCACTAATAACCTATTCCACCACTTCATCAGTAAAATTTCAGTGTCAAGCGTGCGAGGCTCCATCCGAGACTTACTCACTGCTAGTAACGGTGAGAAGAAGCGAAAATTTACCGAGACTGTGTGAGCTACCGCCCCATCTGTGAAAAGCGCATCAAAATCTGTTCAACATCAGCAGGGTGTATTTACGAACATCCTCCCTGGCTCATTCAGTGAATTACAAATCGGATTGAAGAACTATGACCCTCAAAGAGACAAACGTTTCAGTGGAACGATCAAGCTTTCTCATGTACCTCGTCCTCGTATGACCGTCTGCATTCTTGCCGATGCCGCTGACATTGACCGAGCAAAACAAATCGACTTAGGTTAGCCTTTTCGGATCATCAGCTCAACCCCGATAATTTCTTAATCTGAGCCGTACAGACAAACTGAGCATATCCTTATGGCTTCAATTCACAGAGTACATGAGCGTCGATGATTTGAAGAAGTTGAACAAGAACAAGAAGCTCGTCAAGAAGCTCGCCAAGAAGTACGATGCCTTCTTGGCCTCGGACGCCTTGATCAAACAGGTTGGTCTCCACACCACTCCCTTGTCGAATTATCTCCAACTGAACGACTCTTCCGAGTTTTACTAGATCCCCCGACTTTTGGGACCTGGTCTCTCCAAGGCCGGAAAGTTTCCTACTCCTGTTTCCGCAGCTGATGACCTGACCAACAAGGTCACCGACATCAAATCTACCATCAAGTTCCAATTGAAGAAGGTCTTGTGTCTCGGTGTTGCCGTCGGTCACGTCGAAATGACCGAAGACCAGCTCCTCGGTAACACGATGTTGGCCATCAACTTCTTGGTATCTCTATTGAAGAAAAGTACGTATTTTTCGGGTCTTGTGGGCTGTATCCCTTCCTTCCTTGACACCAGGCTGATACCATTGTTCTTTTCATTCAGACTGGCAGAACGTCAAATCGCTTCATTTGAAAGCGACCATGGGAGCCCCAGCGCGTCTGTTCTAGATACCGCTCCACTATAATGATTTTGGGAGTTTTGTCTTCGCAGCTTTGTCTAACGCACCATAAAGCATGATCTCGCACGCTTACACCAACCATACCTCTACGAAGGACTGGATTGGGAGCTAGCCATTTTACTGCATGAAATGACACAAACCTTCCCTATATCTTCCCCTTGAGCCAAGCTCTGACACATTGCGCCATGAACGCAAGCTTGTCGCTGAGTTGACTGCATGCTTGAGCTCATCGCTCAGTGACCCTCAGGGCTTCAAGTCTGCTTGATTCCTCCTTCAAGCTGATGAGATCATACCCGTTGTGACAGCTTGGTAATGACATCAACTGTGGCCAAGTGACTGTGGCCAAGTGACCTTATTTGAAACAGAACCTGCCACAACCCCTGCCCGCTGAGTCCACAAGACCGGCAAGGATCCTCTTAATGTTACATACCAAGCTCAGATGAACCAATTCAGGTGATCAAGCAGATGAAGCCTACAAGAGATATTCAGTCTGGATGTTGGTATCTGAGCTGTGCAGTGGTCTCAAATGATTTGATGAGAGGCCATCCTGGAAATTCACCTGAAGGGAAGTTTGGACAAGCCCCTAGTTTCACTTAATCTCAGCAAAGCTTTTCGTTTAGAACCCTACAGGTTCTGTCTTGCCTGGAAAGCAAAGGTATTTTCTTTCCTTCTATGTCCCCTCAAGGGGGCCATTGAATGGTTCAAGCCATCCACCAAATTCACACAAGAGCTTGACATTGGATTCCTCCTCATCTACAGTTGTCTTGAGAAAGATTGAGAATTTAAGCCTGTTCAATATCACAACTTTTTGGTTTGGCTGTCACTTTCCAGAATTCCAGCACATGAGAAGGATAAGAAGAAAGGTAAAAAACAAAAGTAGGGAATAGATTGAAAATTTACCAGCAACACAGATGATCTTATAAATGTAAAAGGAGAAAAAGTCATTGCAAAGTATGTCTTCCTGAACAGCAACTTCTCATTTCATTAGGACAGTTCACATCTGAACTTTGGAATAAGTTTTATGGCATTTATCATTAAAAATTTTCAAGTTTGTCAAAAATCTCAAATTCCTCCAAACCTGATGATTCATGAGATTTGACAAAATTCATAAAATTTTATCCATAAAAGTGCTAAAAGTTGCCTTGAACTTCAGATGTGAACCGGCCTATTTTAGCTGATTTAAAATTTTAATAGATTAGTAGATTAGTAGTTGAGTAACGTCATAAATAAGTTCAACCAGAATTTCTGGATGTCAATTGGTGCAAATCACTTGAGATTTCTTTTTTTTTTCAGTGGCATGGACTTGTACAAAACACAAGTTGCAGCTTCTCAAATCAAGTTCACCATCAAAATTCAATTCAACAGGGTCTAAAGACATTTAGAGGAACAATTTTTCCATGATTGAAACTAGATGTGATAGTGGGATGAAGCAACTTCCAAACATGCATATCTGTCTTGTTTTTTAAAACAGTGCTTAGGAAATCTTCAATTGGTGTGGGTCCACATTTCTCAATCAATTATCTAACACTAAGTCCAAAGCCTGATTTTTTTTTTTGATGAGAACCCAATTTAAATTGATTCTCATGACCAATAAAATCCAGAATCTAGATTTTCAGCTTCTGATTAATGAGGAGTTCCAGATTGCAATGGTAATTCCCCATCAATCCATGCTGATGTGACTTCCCTTATTCACATGACCGTTTTATGAGGTATTTTCTAACCTTGAAAGAATCAAAAAGGGGTGGTAATAGTAGGATAAGATTCTTGTATTTATGTATAACTTATCCAACAGAATATAATTCAAGCTGGATCAACTCAACATGATCAGCCCTTCTACTCTCAGGTATCATGCAGATTATAAAAATCTCTTTTCATGCATGGATCATAAATAATTTTCTTGTGATAAGCTTTTGATCCTTGAGTTTCATTTCCCAAGACACATTTTTTCGAGATCTGCTCCAACTTCTTTCTTGGATTGTCTTAGTTGGAATGTTTTTTCTTGGGGGCAGATTCTTGTGATTGCCAGGCTATGTAATGCAAACAGGATAAGGCAAGTTTACCACATCAATCTGCAAGAAGTTGACAGTTGGTGATCGATGAATGTGGTGGTGTGGTTTTCGATCGGGTAAGGGTCGGGCAAGTATGCACTTACATCAGAAGAAGAAAGCCATAGTATGTCTTATCCTTGTTGACTGGCTTATGTACTCGATCACTCACTCGGCTTGAACCTCACCACTCACTCCAACCAGCTGGACCCACCCATCCAACTCGAAGAAGACTCACAAACCCACACAAGTTTCATTCCCATCGATCACTTGCCAAAGAAGAAGAAGAAGAAGGGAACGAATCCGATCGGATAACCAAACCATCTATCAACCTATCAAACTTACCGTGAGCACTGATTATGAGTGCAGTAGGTTTCCTCCTTTTTTTCTTTCTTTCTGGTTATACTTCATATAAGAAACAATTCGCTATGAAAAAATCGACTGATGAGGAACTTTCTGCTTGTGTGTTTTTGAAAAAAAAAAAAACCTGACAATAGGAAGCATGGCTTTTCCTTTTTGCCGTCGTCCTGGCTGCCGTATTACTTTTCACAGCCGTCTTCTACGTAAGCACTCATAGTAATTATCATGCTTGGAAAAGTGGAGAGCTCTGAGTTCTAACCTACTCGATTCGCTTCTTTCTTCTCCTTTGGGCTTCGACTTTTTCAGATCATCATGTTCTCGGATTTGGAATGTATGTATCATCGACCTTGCTTATAGATATCATACTTCTTTACCTTCGCTCTTACTCTCGCAAACAATTCGATCCGAAGAGTCTCCGACCTTTCGAACTTGACCATTTACTGATATGTGGATTGACTTCATAATATCTAGGCGATTACTTGAATCCAATCGATCTCTGTAATAAGATGAATCAAGTCAGTCACAATCTCTCAAAGATCCTGTTGGTTTCAGTACCGAGCGACAATTGTAATAACCTCATCGACCTTGTTTTTGCGTTTTAGTTCGTCCTACCCGAGATGGGTGCACACATGTTCCTAGTACTCCTGTTTGTTCTAAGTTTCCAGCTGGTAGCTACTCTGATCAACGTACCACTGGTCGCTTGGAACGTGAACAAGTTAAGTGACTTGGTCAACTAAACGCTTCGAGCATCAAAAAAATTATGATTTTTTCTACATTTATCAAAATGTTGATTTGCGGCTAACTTGATGTCGTCCTTCAACAATTCAGGGTGATGAAAAAAACACACATGTATGACGCGACCGAGATCTTCCGAACATTGGCACAGCACAAAAAGGAATCCTTCTTCAAACTAGGGTTTTACTTATTATCTTTCTTCTACTATCTATTCCGGTAAGCCCTTTGTTTCTCACTCACATCCTCAACTTGATCGGCCTGGGTTGAAAGCCAATTACTGACGTTTACGATACCCTTGAATTTGACATAAACTCGGCAATTAATTGCATGGCACATGAACATGAAACATTTTGGCTGGATTTCACAATTGTAAACAACATTGGACTGTCATGTCTATCAGGATGATTGCCGCACTAGTGGCGGATGAAGTCTAATAATTTTTTTTAAAAAAACAAGTCATTCAAGACGAATGTTAGCAGTCTATAATACTATATCACCACTAGTGAATGAAATAAATTGCCCTTTTTCTTCTTTCTTTGTTTTCTTTGTTTTCATTTTTTTACGCACACATATACACTTCTGAAAAACTATATCAATTGAAAAAAGGAAACCTCCTCAATCTCCTTTTCTGTTGTCTTAGGTTTTTTTTCTGGACAAGACCTCGACCCCCCACAAGTCCAATCCCCCACTCGAAATCACCAATAGAAAAAAGAAAAAGAAAAGTTGCAACATCAACCATCAATATTAGCGTTAGACAAGTTTTGCTAACAAAACAGTGGCTTTTGTTTCTCTTTTGTCACTCACTGAGCCGTTGTACTTTTATTCCGTACGTTTCCCCCTTTTTTTATAAAGAAAAGCATTTCGCCAGATTCATGCATACATAAGATCAAAGATAAACAATACAAGATGGATGAGAAGCTGAATAGAACTTCCTAGGTTTATGTACCAACAAGCAAACTATGTATGAGGAAAACCACGTTCATTCATATACACTTCATTAGTAATTCCCACCACGGCACAATTCATCTGTATAGATGTGTATAGATATCGATCTCCTTTTGTCAGATTGCACCTCAAAAAGCTCCTTAAAAATCTGAAAATTATGTATGCTTGATCACAGACCACACACATCAATCGCGTGCCGTATTTTCTCCATGATTTCTTCGAAAGAAGAATATTGTCATGATCTTGTGAGAAGCGAGATCGATCTGATTCTCATGAGGCGATTTTGTCTGTGGTCTCAACACCCGAAGATTTCTTAGTCTGTTCCACAATCCTTCCAAACGAATCCCAGTTGTTTAAGTTTTCAAAGCAGGGAAGATGAACTCGAATGCCCCAAGAAACTTACAGCTAGCTAAAGAAATGGTCGATCTTCTCCCCAGAGTCAGACACTGCTAGGGTACACAGGTAAAAAAAATCGTGATGGGCTCAGTGCACCCTCGGTGCTGGTTGACCTGACCATTACAACAAAACAGAGCCATCAAGAATCATAGGTGAATCCGAGTACGTCGTTCCAAAACCTCATCAAGCTCATGAGCTATAAGAAAGGGGAAAACAAAGCTGAAAATGCATGGGAGTACCACTTGGACTTCATCGATCCTCGTCTCAGGACTGCTGCAATTGATGTACAACTCCTGATTATTCAAGGCGATGTGGAAACAGGGAAATCACACTCACTGAGCCTGTCTAAGCGATGGTCAAATCGGCCCAATCATCTATAATGCGTTGGACGGCGGATGCAGATTATCCAGATTGAATTCTGACGGTATACAGAGGTTCCAAGTCCATGATATTGCCGCTTCCTCAGCCCCTCTCACGGAAATGAATCGCTGCCAAGAATAACAGGCAACAACCAGAAGACTGTTCAACCTTCTGAGGTATGAACGACTAAGAATATGGCCGAAGCTATAAAACTCCATGAGCTCCTCTATGAATTCACACGATCAGCGCTGTGGTGCCGCGACCCTAACTATGAAGCCTTAAGCCATACGTAATACCCTTGTTTCCACTCAAAAGGCACAAAAGTTACAACTCCGCTTTTGAGATTGCTCTTATCATCAAAAGGAATCTCAGAGAGCCGGCACACCCTCACAAGTTCAGCAAAAGATATGCGACACCAACGCGATTCGAACGCGCGCGGGTAAACCCACTTCCTTAGCAGGGAAGCGCCTTAACCACTCGGCCATAGTGTCTTGATGGCAGTGTGGAGTGAGACGAATATCTTCAATCTGGAAATGCTCTTGCAGTCTTTGTTCTTAGCTGGTGTCCAAAGGCAAATTCTTTATAGCCTGAATGGCAGACAATGACAAAATCCTGGGTGTTCAAAGTGATACTTGAGATTTTGCAGTAGTCAAATATACCACATTAGATTCACGGTTTGCCATGTTATGACTATGAAGTCATGTTAATCATAACAGCAATGAAACAGGAACATGAATTCTCAACACAGGATTTTGGCTCAATGTGGATTCATCTAACATCTGTCATAGTTGTTGTTATTCATTCTAGTCTCTAGCCTGAATGTTGGGGATATTTGTGACACAGCAAATCAACTCAGCATCAAGCACAAGTTGCTGAGATATTTCATGGAGCCAGATAAAACTTCTGGAGGTTTCCAGGTGGTAGCTCACCAGCAGTATCTGATGGGGGCGGGCGGTTCAAATGGCCTTTGTAGGCTTCTACAATATGGGGTTTTTCACATATCGCAACTCGTTGTCAAGTGTCCAGGAAGGTCATATGCCCCCCTTCCCTCAACAAACAGCGAGGCCATTGTAATAGCGTGGGAACACAGGCTTTGCCATCAGAAGAAGTATTTTTTGGAATCATTCGAGATAATATTTTAAACAATTAGGCTATTGGCAGGTCGAAAACTTAGGCAGCACTCCAGCAAAGAAAGTGTCTGGTAGGCCGAGGAAAGGGTTTGTGCATATGATGAAAGAGACAGTGATACAAAGTGTTGTATGACGTAGGAGATCGGAAAATGTTACATTCCTTTCATCCTCATTACGTTAATAATTTGAACTCTTCGTTGGACCTCGATCGCAAATCTTCTACGGTGACGCTCACTCCTCAGTCGTCGACGCTTGAGGAAAGGTTTCTCGTAGCGTTTGTTGAGGTAGATTTCTTTCCTCAATCCGGCGGCATTCAACCAACTGGAAAGTTTCTTGTAAGAGCGTTCGACGTCTGAGGCCAGCACGGGACGGTTGAGGAACGAGGTGGGTGGAATCCGGACGGTTCGGATCACTCGGGAGCTGGCCGGAGTCAATGGTCCGAAATGGCTCTGGATCTTCAGCTGAGAAGCGCTCTTCCATAGTTGATCCAAACTGGCTTTTTCCTCCCGATTAATCTTCATCCTATCGTCCGACCTTCTCAAGTCCTGTAGCTGACTTTGACGGTTTTCTGCCATTCGACGGAAGATATCTCCACCCAAGAGGGACGACGATCGATCGGTTGTCCGCTTCGGGTCCGAGGGCTGGATCTCTTGCGTAGTCGGTTGCTGAGGAGATGTATCAGGCTTGCGAAATTTGAGCGATTGCGATGATTGCGACCGATCGAAACCAAACGGATCGGCATCACTCAGACAGGTATTCGAGCCGCGGGAGAATGAGCGTGATGAGGACCCAACCACACCTAGCGTCGCCTTCCGACCGGCAGTGAGCAGGCGGAGGTTGATAAGCGACATTTCGGGATATCAATAGATACCAATTCGATATGCTGTAGCCTGCGAAATTACGAGCGAATGTTAGAGACAAAGCAAGCTTATGCATGGAATTATCAAAACACTTTGTACTTGTTCTTGCAGAAATACAAGCCGCTCACTTTTCGCCTGAGTCAAGAGACAGTATAATTGGTGAAAGTCAACGAGTATTCGACCTGGCTAGAACCCTTGTACTACGGAGAAGCGAGCTTGATGGTGGGTCGTGCCGGTCCGAATGCCGAGGGAGTTGGTGGTGATGTGTGGTGGCTGGGAATCGGGATATCTTCGGTCGGACCGACGGCAGGATCTGATCGGAGTGATATTTTGAGTATGCAAACTTAAACCTGGGCCCAAAAGGGGGCCAACCAGTACCATCATGATATAATGATGATCCTCTGACACTCTCCACTTCACAATCACATATGGCTCATTATTTTTCCTTTGGTAATCTGAAATTACAATCTTTTCTTGAAATGGTTGCTCAAATAGCAGGGCTGAGAGGCTGAAATGGGCCCCGTCTCCTGTGGATCAACGGTGCACCTTTCTGACCACTTGGTCATTTAGCCTTCCATTTGAGTCACTCATCATTATAACCCTCGAAAACCGGAGTCTCCCAATATATTAATCAGGGGTCTTGAAGTTGTGTAGTCTCCAACAAGCTTTGGTGATGTGAGGGGAAAGTTTCATAAGGCTAATGGTTGCCAAGTTTTTTTTACTTGAAACCAGCTACCTTGTGTGATACACTCAAGTAAGTACTGAATCTGCAGAACCACCTGATTTGATGTGGCTATGGGGGGAATTCCAGCTTTAAATTTTCCAGCCCAATTTTTTATCCAAAATTACAGCAAAGCATACAATCACTATCAGCAGTAGGAGGTAAGGAATGGGAAAATGATATGCTCAATCCAAGCATCCTTTCAAAGCTTTGATTTCCAAATAGGAGCCCATAAACTATTGAAGGAATAGCACACCAAAAAATGAGGACATTGTCAGTTGACCAAATCACCAGGGTGTGTTTTATATGCATCAGTTGAATCTTCAGATATCGGATAAGAAATGATAGAGAGAAGCTACTCTAAAATTTGACACTCTCTTCATTCAACAGACCTTGCATGGATAGAAAAGGAATGCGCAGGTCCAATGAATCCAGCACAAAACATGGAAAAAAGGTTCACAGTTCATCTCGAAGCTGTTGATCCCCGACTTCATCATCCAATTTCACTTTAGCATCTCCAGCCAATTGATCGCGATTTGTAGGATCTTGTGTGAACTTGGAGGATTGATTGAGAACATGGTCATCCAGATTTCGATTCAATTGGGACCGATGTTGATGGGATTCTTGCAGCCAATTTGAGATCAATCGGGCACTGTCCTTTCCGAGATCCCAATACCCCGAATTCAAATTCTGATTAAACATCGTCGTATGACTGGATTTAAGCAGGTCAACCCGAAAGTCAATCAGTTTCCCGCCGAGATATTGTCAATGAAAACGACGATGTACGACCTTTTGATGCAGGAGTGAGAAGATATGAAATACTTACGCATTGATCTCGTTGGCGGCTTTTTGGTTCTGGTTTACCGAGAAGCTAGCATCAATTCCTCTAGGCTGCGTCTTGGATGAAGGCAATATGATAAAGTGCCGATCACTCGAATTTGGATCTACTTTTGGAATTTCAGTATAAAAACTAACAAGGAAGAAAATAAATATAAAAAAGGTTAAGTGTTTTGATTCCTGCTATAGACTCCCTTTCTGGTCAAATAAGTCCGGATCAATGAGAGGTATTGCAGATCACCTACCAATGGAAATTCATCACGGGTTGGAGTTTAATGATATCGGTCATTCTTTGATTTAGTCGATCAGTTTCAAACAGCTCTTTGACATAATCAAGGTGACTGGCCGCCCAGCCCACGTTTTCGGTGATCTTGTCTTTTTGCCAATAAGTAGTTCCAGCCGCAGCGGCTAGGCCGGCGACACCGACAGCAGCTAGGCCGAGTTTCATCCAATTACTAGCCGCGTTCGTTGGCTGTGTTGTTGCTTTTTGTTCTTGATCTTTCTTATGCGGTTCGGGGGATGATTTATCCTTCTTCTGAGCTGCAGTAGGTCCATTGGCTGAGCTTGAACCGGCAGCCCCCATGCCGAATGCAAGCCCTAGACCAAGGTTGTTCATGACTTGTTGGGCCGTCTTTGCATGCCCCAGATATTCATTGGCAGTATTGGTAAAAAAGGTCGGGTTGAGGCCATAGTAAGGTGTATCATAGCCAATCAATCCGATGATCCCAGGCCAAATGATCGAGTCTTGCAAGTTCGTTTGCGAATCTCGTTCACGGATAAGCTTTAAGGTTGCATCGGCTATTACCAGTCCACCCATGCTGTGAAGTTTATTTTTTTTTAAATGAAAGTGTTTGCGGACGTAGCGACACGATCGAAAAAAAGTGAAATGTCGTTGAGGATTTGCTTGTCTGCTTGTAATCCATGGAATGGGAAAGTCTTTGAAAGCACAGAATTTGCGTACCTGTGGCCTAATAAAATCACATAAGCTTGCTCTCTTCCTACATCTGTTTTGCTCTTGCCTTGCGAAGTTGTTGCATGTGCGGTTTCATACTCTGTTGTTTTGACGGTCAACCAATCCAAAAAGACCTCGGATGCCTTTGACTATTTCATCCTCAATCCGCGTACGTAGAGTAAAATCCAAGTAAGGCGAAACCAAAAGCATAAGAAGCAAGTTGAATGAGCCGCCTTGTATCTAAACGCGCTTGTTTTCCGGGGCATGTAGAAGAGACAGCCTTACCAGAGATCCTCGGGTATCATAGGCTGGATAGATTATCGAAGTACATTGAGTGTGTGGCCAGGTCTCGGTTAACAAGAAGGTCAATCGTTCTGGAAACGATTCGAAAGTATCGTCACCACTAGGAACGGTTCCGTATTACGGAAGGTTGAGTAAAAGAAACTCGTCAAGTGAGCTCGTTTTCCCTGGCCGTCCCAACGAGAGTCATGAGTGCGTACCCTTTGAACCTGTATAACATCGACGGATCATTAGAGTCAGTTCACAGCTTATCGAAAGCATAGCATGTTGATCGATTGAAGGATTGGAATGCCATCGTACCCATGTAACCATACTAGCAGTACCAAGCTTGGCGAGTTTGAGATCACTTGAGATGCAACAACGCCCGACATCCTGTAACTTGAACACCAATCAACGTTTCCTAGAAAATGATAAGTACTCGAGTTGTTGGTTCGATGGTTCTTTGATAGTTTCCCACTCACCAAAACCAAGTCTCGGATGTGAATGAAGAGAATCGACAACTACTCCCCTCGCCTTGCCCCTCAGCCAGTCACATCGAGTCAAAACGCACTGAAATCTCCGCGCTCCAAGAGTCCTTCACAACGAGGTTCGTCATTTTTACAACCTCACCAAGAACAGGCGACCCAAGATGTGGCATGATCACGCGAATTTTGGTCGAATGTTATATGTTCCGGTAATTGTTCACACTGATTGTCAAGAAGTGCAACATGTCTTATCGATAGGGCACAACAGCTGGACCAGACGTCAACGCAGTCTTTCAGTGTCTTTCGCAAACATGATCGAAACAACTATCATTTGGATTTTCATCACACTTTTACCCTTTCATCGCAGTTTGCGCAGTTTGGAAATTAGTGTACCACTTCCGTAAAAAAAGGCCCAACATCCTGACACAAAAAAAGGGGCCCCACCATCCAACACTACAGGCAAACAGGTGTCGCTGCGGCCCGCAGCGTCACCTAACCCAAAGGGGCCCCCCTTGGGTTAGGTGACGTTCCGCGCGGGAGCGTCACCTAATTGCCCGTAGTGCAAGACACTTTGGCCGAGTGGTTAAGGCGATTGACTCGAATCATCTTGACTCGTCATCAATTGGGATTTCCCGCGCAGGTTCAAATCCTGCAGGTGTCGGATAGAATTTATTTTTGCAGTTTTAACTTCCGGAGTTGCGGACAAGTCGGAAACGCTGGTTCAATTATAAGCTCTTGTTGCCTTCCTGATTTTTTTTTGTTGATGGTTTTGCTTTGTGCATGGGATCCAAAGTTGATACTTAGGAGTTTGAGAGGTGGGCAGACAGGACTTCAAACGGGTCCGACCCTCTCGCTATCACATCTTGGCAATCCTCGCGGCTCTTTGCAACGTCGTCATCACCCGAGCCTACGCCGAGAACGAGTCGGGGCAACTCGTTAATATCACCCACGCCTACCGACTCACAGATCTTGGCAATCGCTCTTGCTTTCTGCTAGGTGGTCACCGCCCTCCCCCTCCCCGCTCGAACCGAGGGTATTTATAAGGGTTCGAGTTTGGAAGCCTCGATGAGAGACAAGGAGGCCACGTAGGGGATTTCTTCGACGGGCAAGGTCTGCAGGGAATGCGCATGTTCTCAAGTTTGGGCGAGTTGATTGAAAGTTTCCCAGTCAGAAACATCAACTGGAGCGGGCCGCTGACACCGCTTGCAGGGAGCTTCCATACTTAATCTCAAGTGGAGTTTCATTCTAGCTGCTCGCTATCGATCCGGAGTTTGGTTGAGGGCAACGATAATTTCTTGGGAGCAGTCCTCGTTTGATCGGGGCCATCAGAGGGTGGTTTGTGGGTTATAAAGAAGGCCACTTTGCTCACTAATTCTCTCTCTTCATCCTCCATCACAAACTACCTCAGTGCATTCCAACGAACTCTTCACACCAGGCCAAGTGACCTCAGTGAAATCTTTTATTTAAATACTCCACTCGTTCATATTTATTTATCTCTTCCTCATATTTAAAGTCGCAAAATATAAAACAAAACAAAAAAAAGAACTACTATTATTACAGAGGTTAATCCCTCTTATCAGGCTTACGCTCCTTAGACTAGCTCGATAGAGTCCTGCTCTATCTCAATCGAGTCTCATTAGTTCCCTATAATATCTTATTTTACCTTCGCTTTTTTCCGCAAGATGCAACGCACCAGTCTTATCTGTTTGGTGACTTTGGCTGCCCGCCATGTTAGCTTTTCCAATGCCGCTGCCGTCTCGGCCTCTGCTTCCTCGGTATCTAATGCCTCGGCCTCAGGCGGCTCTACGGAGATGCAGGTAAGTTAATATGTTTTGTAATTCTTCTGTGATGTTGGAGTCCTTTAACCAATCATGAGGGAATGTGATGGTACTAGAATGGGCAAGTAGTAAAATCCAGTTCGAGCTCAGCTCATGCTGGGGCTGGGGCGTATGCCGTAAGTCTAGCAATCTGAAGTAATCTTGAAGTAATGTGAGCACTTGTACTCATGTCGCTCCACTGCTTTTTTTCAACCGCATGCAGTACAGCGACTCAGATGGTCACCGTGTCGAAAAACATTGGTCTACTTCCGCGACCACCGGCTCCAAAAAGGTAAGCCTTAGAAAATTAAGTATCTGTTTTATATCGACTTGCAACTGATAAGTTGTTGATCAAATCCTAGAAGTGTGAATGCAAAGACGAGAGCAAGAAATGCGACTGTGAAGAAAAGAAGAAGTGTGAATGTGCAGACAAGGACAAGAAATGTGTCTGCGATGGCAAGAACAAGGATCAGAGCGCAGAGCCCTGTGAGGAGGGCAAAAAGGACGACGGGAAGCCGCCTGTTCCGGAAGTTTTCAGTGATGGAGCAGGAGACACCTCGACTTCTGGCTCCGATTCCAAACCATCTGGAATGAGTTGCCCCGGTGCTGAAACGAACGTCTCACCCTCGGGACCTGCGGGCTCGGAGTGCTCTGACTCAGGTTCTCCTAGCCCATCCCCCTCTTCCGATTCCTCGTCCGGAACCGCCTCAGGTGGCAAGGGTCCTTCTCCCTTGGATGGGCAGGCTGGGGCTCAACAGGACTCCAACTGCACCGAGAATGCCACCAACAATAGTGATTCATCCTCGAACTCCGCTTCAGGAGCCAATGATTCTAGTAGCTCCCCTACCCCAAAACAGGACTCCAGCTGTACCGACAGTGCTACTCACAACAGTGATTTGTCCTCAAACTCCACATCAGGAGCCGGTGATTCTGGTAGCTCCCCTACCCCCAAAGAGGACTCCAGCTGTACCGACGGTGCTACCAAGAATAGTGACTCCTCTTCCAACTCAACCGATGCTAGCAGCTCCCCTACCCCAAAACAGGACTCCACCTGTACCGAAAATGCTTCCAATAACAGTGATTCATCTTCGAGCTCCGCCGCAGGATCGAGCAACCCCGGTAACTCCCCCGCACCACAAGGCTCTGATTTCTCAGGTAGTGGAGGTGATTACCCATCAAGTAGCAACAACCAGACCGCTTCCACCGGTAGCAACCACACGGCGGCAAGCGGCGTTTGCAATGGAACGAACTCCAGTGGCCCATCAGGTTCGAGCTGTGAAGACGTTGTCCCTTACAGCGGCAGTGGTCAGGATAGTCCCGCATCGAAGCAAAGCGGCAGTGGCTCATCAACGTCTTCCCAGGGCAACAGTAACCAATCTGCTCCAAGCGGCGGGAACACTCCTCCTTGCAGCAGCAGCAGCAGCAGCAGCAGCCACAGTTCATCCTCATCAACTGGCTGTTCATCATCGTCTTCTCAGAGTGGCAGCTCCCCACCGGGTCCTAGCGGGGGAAGTGACTCCCCAACTCCAACTAACGGGACGGAGGGATCCGCAGCGAATACGCCCGGGGGAAGTGATTCCCCCTCCGGTGATGGAAATGGCACGACACCTGATTCTAGCACAAAGGACTGTCAATCGGTGCAAGGCTCTGGTGGCCAAAATTCTACTGACACTTCAACTTCTGGAAATGCCGGCGCAACCGGCTGCGTGTCTGGAAAGGATTCTGGAAACCCTCAACCCGCTACCCCTCCTGAGGACTCTTCCTCAGCAGGAAATGGAAATAGCCCTAGTCCCTCTCCTGATGCTTCGTCCAAATCGTGTGCAGACGCAACCCCTGCAGGGGATGGCTGTGGAAGTGCCTCATCAGGTCCTCCCCCAGTCTCAAGCGGAGGTTCTTCGCCAGGAGGAAACGGCCCAAGTCCCTCTCAAGATACCCCCTCAGTGTCAAGTGGTTGTTCCACTCCCGGGGGGCAATCCCCAACTGGTTGCGCTGAAAGCACTAACGGCATGCCCCAACCAAGCGGTACTGGAGACGACTCCACTAGTCCTTCCACCAATTCAACTGACTCATCCTCTCCAGGTCATGCCAGCTCCCCGGGCGATACTTCCAGTAGCAGCAATTGCGATACCCCAACACCAACTAATAACAATGGTGGAGAAAACTCACCCACTCCATCGACAAACGGAACCGACTGCCCAAAACCGGACTCAAAGGTGAGCACTTTTTCTGATCAAAATGAGAAAGACACAGTTACCCTTGCCCTTACTAAACTGACATTCCTCATTCTTTTCCACTATCAAAACGGGTTGTTATTCAATAGACTGAGGGTAACTCAGCAGACTCGCTTTTGACTAACCAGCCTATTATTGGTACCTTACTGATGACCCTGGCCACTGGATTTGCCGTCACATTCCTTTAAGACACATGACTCGTATGGCACCAAGATCATCAGCTTTGAACTTTCACAAGCTTCATCTTTGGACAGTCATCCTCATGGCTGTTCAAGCTCATTCTACCCTATCTGGGATCTAGGTTTTTGTTTTTCCAATCATTCTCCACTTTGCATGTCTTCTTGAATCATCAGCAAGTAAAAAAAAGTAAGAAAATAAATAAATAAACATACAGAAAAAAAATAAAAAATTATACACATAAAATTTTGGGACGTTGTGCTTTGATGTTTTGAATTGGTTTATATCCCACACTACAATATGAATTTTGGGGTCATTGAATTTGTATTTCAGTTGTGTTTTTGCAATTAGGATTATTTGGTTATTGAAGACCAATCTTGATAAAGCTAAGCTCCCTAGAAACATACAGAAAATCATAACTTCAATCATCTTGTGATAAAACATTCATTTTTATAGATATTTACTCTGTCTTTCCCATAGTCTTCATTCTATTTGGAGATCAATACATCCCGGAGAAACTATAAGAACTTGGAGTGGATGCTTATCAATGATGCATCCTCTGCAATAAGCAGACCCTGTTCACCTGCAGAATTTCTGAATATAAGGGAATTGATGATGCCTTTTTTGGCCACAATGTGAGTCCTTGAGCCATACAGATAATAAAAAAAAATTGAATTCTTATTCCTGAAAGCACAGGAATAATGACTGAAAAGCCTCCTGATTGCAAGGGAAGCCACTGATTGGAATTCCTCTTATTGAGCTAGACTTGGACTTTGTGGTATGTTGGATGATCCTGCCAGTGCAACAGTGGGAATCCTGGGATGATCTAGCAAGTGCCCCACACACCTAAAGCATCAGTATGTCGAGTGCACACCATTCAAGAAAGCAAACAGTCTCATACATATTGAATGGCATCTTCTCCACCCAAAAAAATTACAATCACCTCTTATTACAGGGCCGGGGGCACCTCGCAAACCAATGCTCTGCAACAAGACCCCCAAACATCGAAAGCCAAGGGGAAAAGAATTAGCACATGAGAAATGGATGATTGCGACAAAAGGATATGAACTTTCCAAGTCCTGTTTACCAGCAACCATCTTTCTGATTCAAATTCATTCAATCATCCAATGACGACCTCCGTTCACAATACAGGCTGCATGGGACGCCGCACGGCCATTTGGACCCGACTTGCCAATCTCCATAACTCGATATGATTTGCTTCACTAGCTAGCGCATTCGGCCTTGGATTCCTATTCACCACGTCAATAATTCTCCCACCCCCTCGCCCCACTTGCACTCGCAAGAGGAAGCCTGAGGGTAAAACTGACTCATTTTCGGCGAGTTTCGGGAATACTACAGATTGCCAAAGACGGGCGTTCCGACATGCGAACTGATCCCAGCTCTGATGGCCCCACTCCTCACCGGGTTCGGAATCGTCTTCTTATTCCATGCTGGGGGTGTTGACGTATAACCAGATCAAACAAAAAAGCGCAATGCACAATTTAGTTTCAAACTGGAGGCCTAATCGTTAGGATTGGCTGTTTGGTTGTTTATTTTTAATGTATTCATTATTTTTTCCACGCTTGCAAATCAAATCTCCATCGGTTCTCAGGATCGGGAAATAAAAACCTTTGCTTTATTGAGAAAAAAATTTACGAATAGAAAAGACTTTTTAGAAGTTTTAGCTTTTCTAAGCTACCACTAGTGGATCGCGATCAGCTACGCTGACTTCCACCTCCCACTGAGGAGTTTGATGTTCAGACATCTGCGCAGCCTCATCGAGAAGAAGTTCGTGCAATCTAGGTTGCAAGACTTTAGCAAGAAAGAACCGCTCGGTGTTCGTATGTGCAGTAAGAATGATGTGAATTCCACGCGCGTTGGCACTTAGTAACTCGTGCTATCATCAAAATAGCAGAAGAGTGTTAGCTTGTTAAGCCGATATGTGACTTGAATGTGGATAAGAAGACACTCACGTGTGACATTTCCCCAGTCACAAAAGCGTCACAAGATTTTCCCAAAGCCGAACAGATGGACCCACCAGATCCCGCGCAAACGCCTACCGAGCGAATGGTTGGAGGCGCAAAACTTGACTTTGCTAATTGGACTGAGCAAACGGAAATTGGGCAGAAAAGAGATGCATGATAAGTAACATATATTGAGCACAAGTTTAAAAGCTGGGGAATGTCGGACATACCATGAGGAATTCCCAAGCCTGCTTTAACTCTACTGATAAGCTGATCCAGATCGACCTCTTCTCCTTTCGCGAATTCGACTCGGCGTCCACCACCTAACCCCACCCCACTCAGTACATTTTCGGGAATTTTCTCGACGATTGCACCAGATACGGAATATATTTTGTTCTGGTGGGGTATTTGACCGGAGACGATTTCACACAGTTCGTCGTTGATTCCTCCTATCACCGAATCGAGTGCTGTATGAGGTGAATAAACACTATAAAGCCCCTACCAAAAACAAATCAACAAATCAAAAATCGGATCTCTCTGGTAATAATTCGAATTTTGATCAGAGAGGGGAGAAAGCCGAGATTTTCCTTTCTCATCATCCTGACCTAATCTGCTTGCATAGTATCGGGATTAAGAGGGAAGAAAGAAAGACAAAACGAACCTGATACCAGCTGATGCACATTTTAAAATGATTTCTTGAAGGGGATCACCCAATGTCAACGACTTGAGACCCCGAAAAATCGTAGGATGGTAAGCAACAATCACGCCAACATTCGAATCCTTTGCCAATGCTTCCTCGGCAACACTTGGTGTCAAATCAATCGTCAGAAGAACCTTATTGGCCAAAGGTCTGATCACTGGGGATTCTAACAGCAAGCCCGTGTTATCCTGCACACAGGTTTTTTTTTGTTCGGTTAGATTTTTCGTTGCAAGAAAAAGGTCCAAAGTTTCAAATTGATTAATACTCGGGTCCTCCATTTGCACTTTTTATTTTATTTAGTTTAATTTTGTCATGAACAAGTAGACCAAATAACTCACCCAGCTTTCAGCCAAAGAAACCGGTGCCATCTTAGAGAAAGCTCTCTGGACGGCTTTAATGAGCGACATGGTGAGTGAAAGCCACAATTCGGTTCGAATGGTTTTGTGGTGCCGTCGATTTAGTTTAACAGGCCCGGACCACCAGCAAGATGCAGAAGACAGCCGGCGGGAGTTTCGAGGCAGCGTTTAGGGGACCCCCGTCATCTGGCGTCCGTCGATTGGAGCCTGCACTTCCCCGGAGTCCTCGCAGGACGTTCTCAGGGAGAGTTCCTTGGGAAAAAACATAACACACCACTCAAAACCCAAGACAGCATCACAAACCTCTTAAATTACGGGATACTTGTTTTTATTAATTTCTTTCCTGAATTTTTTCACCTTTGTCCCACTTTTTCCAATCTGACTTGTGGCTTTTTTCCAATCCTTGTCTGGAATGTATTGCCAGATATTCCATGTGAGCTGGTTTGAATTATGATTGAGGTGGTAATTTAGGACTGGGGCGGGCTTAAAAAGCACTCTAAATGGCGACGGGAAGTCCTCCACTAGAATGGAGACTTGGACTGGAGTGTCATTGCAGAGCGGTCCGAGAGACAACAGGCGTGGTTGCAGACATGGTCGTCCACTGAGTGCGGACACCGATAATCAAGAAAGAGCTCTGGAAAGTTCTCTGATACCCTTACCTATCAAGTGTAGTAAGAATACACAGTCAAAATCAATAGTATTGTACTTTTTTGTAGGGACCAAAGAAACTCCGTAGCTTCTATCCGTAACCGAATACAATGAATGTCTTTGTTTATTCATAGGGTTAATGCAAACAGCCAATCCTAATACATACGACCCGGAAAGTTGTGTCAAAAGTGAGCTCCACCCGCAGAATCTCTGGTCAGTTTGAAAGCGGTGTGCTGCAGAGCTGCTGGGAAACAGAACCATTGAGCTCTGCCATGTGGCCAGTGGCAGAAATCTGATCCTATCATGACAATGACATGGCCGTACTAGACTGAGCTTGCGTTGGCCGGTAGAAGCACACTGCTGATCAGTGTATAGGCTAGGTTCAGATTTCGCAATGACACTAGTCCTTCACAAGTAATCGTGTATGATTTGAGAATTGTTTGTGAGAGTAGCTGCGTTGGAACCGGTTTCCAGCTTGTAACATCACGAGGAAATGAGATCCGATTATCACACAGAAAGCTATTAGAAACGTCCCCTCACATGAGTCCTGCCCCCCCCCCACACACACATACTTTTTCGTTTGAGTGGCAATTGATCGATGATTTCTTGTTTTATTATGATTCTGCACCCAACAAATAGAGAGGATAAGCTGTTGCTAAGACTCCCGATGACGTCTATTTGAGAGTTTTTTTTGCGATATGTTAATTCCGGTTTTGACAGAAAATAGGAATTTCATGATGTCAAATACAAGGGTCTGCCCAGGTCAAGGGAAGTCATGATGTCAAATACAAGGGGCTGCTCAGGTCGAGCACCCATGATTGACTTGTGCCAACACCGGCCGGAGATGAATGAGCTTTGTGGAGACATTATACCGGGAGATAAGAGTCCTCCGCAGCTCCGACTCAGTTACCAAACGGTCACTGTGGCATGTTTTTTAAAGGACTACTTGGGGGGGGAGGGGGAGTGAAACAAGCATGTTGGGGTATTGTTTGGTGTAGCTTCAGCTTTTGACTCTCTGCTGAGGTCTCAGGTTTCCGCGCAGCTCCGATCCAGCAGCCTCCTGGTTAGAAGGACTGGAGCAGCGGCCGGAGACTACTGACAGTATGCGAAACAGGGTATAGCCAGTTGATAGTTGAAATTTCTGTGTTGCCCTGTGTGGAAAAACTTGCGTTCAAGGCACCAGTTTATACCCTTCCCGGAAGTAAAAGCAAGCTTGATTGAAGGTCATCTGGCCAACATAAATAGTGCAGCTTTGCTTCCCTAAAATTAGACCAACAGAAAGTCCTCAAAAGTCCCCAGTTTTATCCAACCCTGTTTCCCAAGCTACATTATGAAGACAGTTTGTCACAAGCTACTATATGCTTTGTTTATACCAAGCTTCCTTGAATCAGTGATAGCAGGATGTTCAAATCACCCAGACGCAGCATGGGTTTTCAGTCGCACCGTCACAAACACTGATGGCACTAAAACCTATGTTTATGAGTGTGCGGGCCGATCATGTTCAAACACAATGAGGAGAGCAAACAAAATCTGAGAAAGATTCATTTCCATGATCAGAGAAGTATTGAAGGTGAGCTACATGTTTTAATTAATTTTTAAATTGTATGTGTGTAAAAATGTTCTGCTGACAAGACAGACTAAATTTTGATTTTCCAAACACCAAATTGTAGGCATCTATGAAAATATGAAAGTCATTATTCCTGATATTTTGGTTTATACTTCATTTCCATTCCATTCTTATTTCCCCTCTCTTGGTCTTCACATTTCTTTTTCACCAGTCATATGTACTAGTTGCGGATTAGGTTTGTCAGTTCTAAATCCCTGAAGACCAGAAGCATAGATCAGGACATTTTAGGGTGACTGATTTATTGCTCATATAGGAGTTGCTGCAGGTTGAGGGTCCCTCAGCATACTTTCTTATCACAAAAATTGGTGGGATGGGGCTAGGAACTGGCATTCTCAAACTCCAATACAATTTTATTTTTTCTACCTACATCCTTGGTTTCTCACTATGCCTGCATTATAGAATATGTTGGAATTCTGATAGCCTGTCTTTCTTCTTACTCATGTCCCATATCTACTTCATCTCAACTTGTTGTAGTAGCATTTCAGCAGAAGCATGACCTTATGGTTTTTGGAAACTCACATGTAGACTTTGATCCTTTTGTATAAGTCACATCACTATCATGTCTACTGAATAGTCCCATCATCAGGTTCCTTTTTCTACCCATCATTACTTGTTATTCAATACTCCTTAGCCAATGCTTGATATTACAGTACTTATTCTACTTCAACCTAGCATAGTAAATGAATATCAGCCATTGGTTATCTTTTTTAAAACATGCCACCTGAGCCTCTCCCAGTGTCACTGAGACCTCACAAACTTCCTTTTTCCTTTTATCCTTAGGTCAAACAACACAAAGTGATAATTTCAAATCCAGTTTCCATCATTTCTCCAATTCCTTTTCTCCTTCTCATACTCCTCTTACAGGACAGGTATTACCACATGCTACCCAATACTCACCACACTCAAAACAACTCAGTCAACACTCACAGTAACAACCATCTCATAAATACTCATGTTACTTACACAGAAGCTGAGTCTGAAACCCCAACATTTGGGGGTATCAAATAGGGGCTTGGCTCCCAAAAAATGGAGAGCCAACTCCCAAGCCCTGGAATCCCCAAATTTTGGGAGTTGAACACCCAAAACTGATGAAAACAGGAATTATTATTGAAACTAGAACAAGATGTCAGTCTTAGAGCCAGCCAAGGTGGCCAAAAGACTGCCTAAATTGTGCATTTCAATTTCAAATATTATCATATCTTCTTTACCTTAAGACTTTTAACATTTTTGAATTCAGAGATAAATTCTTGGTGTAAAATTAATCATAGTCACCACTGATCATTTTTACTCAACTCCATTCCTTCATTGACTTTGTAACAATTCACAGTACCTTATGAAATACACTACTTCCTTAGGTTTCAGTTCCCTCTACCACATGTACATGTAATCATTACTTAATCCAACTTTGAAAATCCTCTCTGAGCTTGTTGATTCCGCTCCCAGAGGATTTTCAGACTCCAGACACACCCAGAGCCACAACAACCAGATCCAGATCAAGCACTCACTTATCAACCAGAAGAACCTTACTTTTCTTGCCTTTCCCACTACTCAGTGTCATTGGTGTCATCAGTAAGTTGCTTCTTTTAAGTCTAGCTAGCATCTTTCTGCTTGTTTCAGTTCCCAGTTGATGAAATTTTTACCAAAGACGTGGATAATTTTTTGAGGAAAATTTTTGGGGCAACAAAATGAATTTTTGTTGGACTGACTCAAGGGTCGGGGAAAGAATGAGAGAGCCAATGTGTTTTTTACTTAGAGGAGACTACGCGTTAAATAGTCTACATACAAGAGGTCAAACATGTGGTTGAGAGAAAAATGAATATCATAATGAATAACAAAAAATAAACAAATTCTTGAATAGATGACTGGAGCAAATGACTATTGATAAAGACTAGACCAGGGTTTGAAGACTACAAGGATTGCAGCACTAGACAACAAGACAAGATACCATGCAGAAACTAATAAAAATTGTATAATAATTTGAATTCAAATATTTAATCATTATTAATTAAAAGACTAAACAGAACAGGATTTTTAGGGATGAGGAGAGAGAGAGAGATGAAATTCCAACACCAGTCTCTCTCAACCTTCCTTTCTCTCCTCCTCTCAACCAAACAAACCATAGCCCTGATTTAACAAAGCAAGCCATAGCTTTAAGCATCTTTATTCTTACTGTTTGGTAGCATAACTGAAAAATACCTAGGTTTCCCTTTAAAGAACCTTGATCATAGATCTAAAAATTTGTGGTTGATCTGATCCCTCAGTATCAATATCCCATTTCAATTTCTGTTGATTTGGAGGTGAAGAGTCAGCTCCGCTTATAACAGCTATCCTCAAAGGAAATTAAGACTGTCAGAATTTTAATCATCATCATAAAACAAATAAATAACAAAAATATTATTCATTTCTTCCCTTTCTTCTACTTTTATTTGTATCTCTCTTCTCTTAAGAAATACATATAAACAACGGTGGGCCACTACGCTACACTATGCTAAATGGCCCACTAATGTTAGCATAGCGGCCCTTGGTACAGCGTGCCAAACCTGTAGTGTTAGCGCGCTGTTAGTGCCACTACGCTACGCTGCGCTGCGCTACAGCGCTTTTAGCGGCAAAAACGGCCAAAAAACCGCTAAAATGCGCTGTAGCACAGCTTAGTAGGCCCTTTTTTGAGGCCCACATGCGTAGCGTTAGCGCAGATACAGAAATCTGCGCTAATTACACTATGCTACAATGTAGTGTATTTGCACTACACTACGCTAGGCTAACACTACCGTTAGCGTAGCTGGCCCAGCGTTGATATTAAAGTGCCCCCCCCCCAAACCTTGTGTCCTGCAGTCACTATTTAGACCCAGGCTCATCAAAGAAACAAGTTGTTAGAGGAAATTCAACAGAAATAAGAGAAGAAATGAAAAACAATCAAATTGATTTTGAGAAGAGAAGACAATTTACCAAAAGAATAGTTGTCTTTTGATTTAGACAGAAAAGAAGGGCAAAAATAGATGAGATCAAACAATGATATGTAATTATAGACACTTTTTTTGATATGAAAAATTGTCAGCCTCTGGGTAACTAACCCAAGTTATTTATTGATATAGGTTGTTACTATGAGTTGAATGGTGTATTTTGAGCGTGGTGAGTGGTAGTTGGTGGGTGTTAATACCTGTCCTGTAATGAGGAGGTTTCACTCTATCAGTATGGTCTTTACTGAGAGGCTTTCTATCAACAGTGCATCCGGATCAATACAAGGTATTAGTAGGCATCCAGGGTACTAAGACTCACCTGGGATTTAGTTATTTCCCAAAGGTAAAGGGCTAACAATACTTATTAAGCTTTAACAAAATTAGTCGAAGGTTAATAGGTATTGTTGATGAGAATATTTGGCAAGGCTATGAATATTGTGGATAAGTTGAGTAGGTTACTGAAGCTTAAGAACAATAAAAGTAGACTTGATTTAAGTTGAGTTACGTGTAAAGTATCAAAATAAATGTTAACCATGTTTAACTGGTGTCTGAATATTCAGGGGATTAATCAGTGAAAGTGGCACAGATTATATGTTCCAGAATATTAAAGTAGAAAATGAAGGAGTGCTCTAAATCACAGGTAAAGATACTAGAGGAAAGAGCAAGGTTAATAGAGCAGCTGATCTTTATTTGCAATGATCTGTTAGTGCTATCATAGTATTTACTAGTGGATCAATTACTAGTATCTGTGACTTGTTCAAACTAACAGGTCCTTTGAAATAAAATAACAAATAAGGATCAGTGCATGTATTGATTGTATTAATTCAATTTGTAGACAATAGTTTGCAAACAATACATGAACACCTTTATTTGTAATGATTCTTGTCCGTGATGACTTTGGGGACAAGGATAATTAATAATGAAGTCATCCATTTAGAAATCTCATCATTCCTATGGTACTCTCAACGATGGGTCTTTACTTTACAGATATTGGTATTGTACCGTTACAGTATTTTTTTTGACTCAATAACCCTACGGGTTTTACCGCAATCCGTATTGGATTTTTCTTTACAATATCCCAGTTTGTGGCTTTTGTTTTATTTGCTTTCGATACGATAACTGAGATATGGGGATTTTTTTCTGTTACTGAGCAAATGGACCCATGAGCAATAACAAAGACGGAAAGAACAATTTTTTTCCCTGTTGTCTTCAGAACAAGACTGAATCTCAACAGCCAATTTGGAATTGGATGAACGTTCTGCCTCCGCAGGATGTTTGTGAGGAGCCGGCTGTGTTAATCTCACCCACGAGTCTGATGATGGTGCCACCATGTTTGGTGCAATGACAAGAGATAAAGCTCTAATTGATGAGCGGTGTTGTTGAGTCTGAGAGTGATCAGTAGAATAGCCTTCAGTATTTTTACCGTTGGAGGGGTCATTCTGAGTGGATTTTGGAGTTTGTGAGGCCATGCTGCTTCTAGTATCTGGGATAAGGGTCCTGGGGATGCTAGCAGGGGTACGTCCCACATATAAGCAGGGGATAGCTCACCAAAGGCCTGCTGTCATCAACTTAGGGCTTTTTTATGCCTTTTGCCCCTGGTGGAGTTGGTTATTGTGTTAACCAGGGGTAAAACGGAAACCTATAACTATATCTGTATGAAGCAACCAAAAAATGGGTGCCTCAATACTATACCAGTTGCTTGGGGCTTGGTCCTTTACTAGTACCGGTATTAGTAACGGGTGGTCAAGCATACATTTACTATAACAAAAGGGGCTGGTTATCGTAGAGTACAGTAAAGACCCATTGTTGGTACTCTTTTTCAGTAATTTACCGCAGCACATTCCTTAGGATAGATATAGAACAAGTTCTTCCATCTACCTGAGTGTGGGTTAAATTTCTTTTATTCTTTTTTAATGATTTTATCTTAAAATAGAAAAAGATATTTAGGGACCGCGGGAATGATTTGTGTGTCTAGAAGAAGATCATTTACTCTTCTTTATTGAGTCTATTTAAATGCATAATATTTATTCTAAAAATATATGGAAGAAGTAGGTTTAAGAAACAAACTCACCCAAAAGCTCAGGTGGAAGTTTCTATTGATGATAGGAGCCTGAGCCTAGTGACTTGAACCTATATCTCTGATTCATCTTAGACATTGACACCAAACCAATCCTCAATGGGTGTTAATGAGGTTTGTGTTTTTAGCAATTAGTGTAGTTGGAAATGATTGAAGCTTTCAATAAAATTTTTTAAGAAATTTTTTGTAAGTAAAAATGATAAGAAAAAGATCAATAAGAGTGGTGATAGTTGGAAGCTTAGTGGGGCAAAGTATTCCTAGTTTCCCGAGACAGATGTCTATAAGCTCACAGATCTTTCTATGGCCTAAAATAATGCATATCACGTTTCAGACTGGATAGGAATTGTTAATTTGTGCCTGTCTTAGGCCAATCTTATTTGTGCACATTGATCACACCACCTTCCCTCAGTGCCTGGATCAGGTGCTATACATTATTAAGATCACACAATAAATAATGAAGTCATTATTAAGAACAGTACATATATTGATTGTATTGATTCAATGATTATTTGATTAGTACATTCAATACTTGTACATATTTATTTGTAATAATATTTGACCATGAAACCACTGTGGAACAGGGATAACATGTGGTACAGGTATTTCACGGACAAAGGAGTGAAAGGTAAGTTATAATTACTTATGTGTAAATTAGATATGTATTTAATAGATAAGTAATTAAATGATAAGATAATATTTAAGCTTATAGGTAATCAATAATGATAAGATAAAATATTATAAAATAAAATATGATAAGATAACAATAATGATAAGATAACAAGAGGTTAAGGTAAACATTATTATGGATAAGTGCTTATGTAATTAAGTACAGGTGTTTCAGTGACTTGGTATACCCAGTGTAGCTTGGCCTGGGCATGCAAAATTTTGCATTCACATCTAGCACTTGATTTTTGCCCAAATGCACCTGATCTACTGTATAACTGGGTCTGGGGAGTGGGGGCAAAGGCCATCCCTTCCACAGCACTTTCTTGTAATTCAAAATTGCTCAACTGCCAGTCATTTTTTTTGAAAATAATAATAATCCAAACTAGATAGGATGTAGGACTGAAGTAAAATCCACTCTATTCAGAATTTTGTTCACAAAAAAATCATGGCTCTAGATACTTTTTCAGAAATATTCTTTATTCAATCTGAAACTTCAACCTCAAGTGGATGACTTCCCGTTGCGGTTTACAACCCTCCCAGAATCTGATTTACACCCCCTAGATCTTGATTATTGGTATAAAAAATTATTTTTTCACAAGCCTTGTGAAGATAGCTCTCATGTTAGCTGGTTGGAATTATGATTGAGGTGTTAATTCAGGACTGGGGAGGGCTTAAAAAGCACTCTAAATGGCAACAGGAAGTCCTCCAGTGGTCCTCAACATTGGGTCAAGTGGAAAAGTATATCCAGAGTATCTGGTTTGTTTCTCCTTACAAGATGATTGATTAAAAATAGGCAATAATAGTTTTTGAAATAAGATATCAATTATAAATTCAACTTACTGGAATGGAAAGCTGAGATTCCCTAAACATGAAGTATGCCATAATCAGCAGTGGGCCGCTACGCTACAGGCCCATGTAGCGTTAGCGTAGCGGCACCAATTTTTTTTTCCCGTGTAGTGTTAGCGCGCCGCTACTGCCGCTGCGCTACTCTAACTTGTAGCGGTGCTAACACTAGCCAATTTTTGGTGTAGTGTTAGCGCACCACTGGTGCCACTACGCTACAGCATTTTTAGTGGCAAAAAACACCTAAAAATTGTTGTAACACAGCGTAGCGGGCGGTTTTTTGCGCCCTGTGCGCGTAGCGTTAGCGCAGATGGGGGGGGAATTGCGCTAACACTACGCTAAACGTTAGCGCAAATTTTTCCCCCATGCGCGTAGCGTTAGCGCAGAAATTGAAAAAAGCACTAACACTACGCTAAATTGTAGCAATTTTTCACTACACTACGCTATGCTAACGCTACGGTTAGCGTAGCTGGCCCACCGTTGCCATAATGACATCACCTTTGCATCAAATGATGCTGAGTTTCAAAATGAAAGTGTTCTGGATTGACAGGCTTCTGACCAATGAAAAATCCATAATCAGGCATGAGTTGAAATGGCCAATCCATCTAATTGTTTTTTTTCTGTATGTCTGTGGTAGTTGGTAGCAACTTTGGCAAGCTGGGATTTCAAATTGGAGTTGGCATGGTTTCAAATTAGATTTGGCATGGAAACAAAGTTTGACTGGATTGGTGATTTTAGCTATTATATTTGAACTATGAAGTGCAAATTTGAAACCTTAAACCCAATTCATATGTTGCAAAACTATCAAGATTTTGATTAGCTGTTTGAATCAGGCTGTATGCCACTGTCAAAGATTTCCCCAGCTTGAGTCACTATATAAAGATTTGTGTTTGAGGTCACAAAAAATCAAATTAAGAATGATGTGCCCTAAGGAAAAAACACATGTCAGTTTGTAGGGTTTTGAACCGTTTGTAATTGTATTGTATCCAATCCCTCTGAGGGAGGGTGGGGGAATTGGATTTTCAAATCACCTGTGGTGCTTTTTGGAAATGGCAGTTGGTCATCCAATATTGCCCATTTTGAATGATGAGTTACAGCAGTTCCACAAATAGTTGCTGTTTTTTCGCAAAAAAAAAAAAGTTTGCTCAGACAAAAAAAAAGTTGACTTGCCTGAAAAAACCTTTCAGCACAGCATCAGTGCCTTTCACCACGCACTCAACATCACCCCACTCTTCCACCCCAGGTATCCAGACTTCTCATCAGGTAGGTAACGTCAAATCAAACTTCCTCAATTCACTTTCACTTTCTCTGAGCTTGTGTGTCCTTCATCCATGCAGATTACAGGATCGATGCGTTACAATGCGACATTCAAATTTATCGTCGTCAAAGCGGCTCTGGATGGATTTTCATTAGTAGAAATCAACGAGCGACATGGATCCACTGTTAGTGCCGACTCCCTTCGACGCTGGTATGAACTTTACGAAAAGACACGATCGGTGGTTTGTGATCCAAATACTTATCAGGTTCGGGATCGGCCTTTGGCTCTCAACAATGAGGAACGGACATATCTACGTGAATTGATTGCCGAAAACCCAGCTGTCTACCTCGATGAAATCCAAAGCCGACTGTTGGACGAGCACAACACCCGAATCTCGCTGCAAACAATCTCAAACGAGTTACACCTGCGGCTTCGTCTGAGTCGCAAATCGATCCGGAGAGTTCATCCCAGCCAGAACATCGATCGGCGTATGGAGTACATCTTGATGATAGCTCACCATGACCCATCAACCCTGGTGTTCACAGGTGAGTTTCATTTTTTTCTATTTGTGTTGATTGTATTTTTCTCATCATCCCTTTCCAGACGAATGCGGTATCTGCCTTGATGGTGTTGTTCAAACTAGAGGATGGGCTCCGGTTGGTGAAAGGACAGCTCGTGTCCCGACCTCACGTTGTGGTAGCTGAATGTGTAAAAATTCAAAGTTTTTTTTCTTCATTATTCTTTTCTTTTTATATTTTTTTCCCTTATATTTCTACTCTTCTAACACTCATTAGAACTCAAGAAATGGACTCTAGGGCCCATTTCACTCATGGTCACCTCTGGAGACATCTCTGGAACTCACTGGCTTGGATGTTACACACCTCTGGACATGTACAACACTCAATTACACTCAATCAACTACACAGGACAACTACACAACACAAATTACACAAATACTTCACTACAGGACTCAGGTAAACAGATGACATCATAATCTTCTTACAGGTGCACAGCTTACACAGCCTGTCAGGTCAGGTGTACAGCATATGCAGCTTGTCAGGTCATGTGATAATCTTCCTGCAGCTGAGCTCATGCAGCTGTCAGGATAGATCATGCAGATTGCTAGGCTAGCACAAACCCCTCATGTACACTGCCTCTTCTAGCTAAAATAACTCAAATTACATCATGTAGGCTGTCCAACCAGCTAAATTACCTCATGGTACAGCTCTGACCAGCTAAAATCTCTCATTCTCTTGCTCCCTTGGAGCCAAAATCCCTCATTGTTGTCTATTTAAGGAGGCTCTCCTCCCAGTTGTTTTTCCCCTCAGTTTAGTACCCACAAATCAGATACCCCCTACCATTACATACCATACCATTAACATTACATACTGTAACAACCTTTACAACACCCTATAACAACCCTTACAATTGTAATACACACTAAACTCACTCTCATACTCTCAAAACCTCTTCTCTCATACAATTATATTGCGATCAAACAACTTATTCTCGAACCAACCACCCCTATCACTTGATTAAAACTTGCCAAGCTGAGCTTGGTGGGTCTTGTTATCTGATAGTACAGAAGGGCAGAGCTTGCAACTCCACCATACCCTTCTCCATTCAGCAAAAGGGTTCTCACAACCACTTTTGAGTCTTACAAGGGAGTCCCCAACGTGATAGGGATTCTTTGTTTGATCGACGTCAATTAACCAATTTCAGCAAGAACAAGAAGCCATCGTCAAAGGATCACTACTTCTAGCGGCAAACGGATCAAATTTATCAACCTCATTTTGTATCACTCAACGGCATATTCAGTTATTCTGTTGACTAACCAGTTATCTTCATAAACCATTCAACAAAACTTACCATTAATCTCCTGAAAAGAACAATTACTAACCTTGAATTAACCATAAGAATTTTGTGAACCAGACTGAAAAGAGTACCTCAAAGGAAACAGCCAGTTATATACCAGACGAAGGGTAATAGAGACCTGAAGGATTTGGATAACTAGGATCCTGTTAGAAGAGATCTCCGGAACTATTTGAAGGAAGCAGCTGCTTATATCCCAGAAGAAAGGTAATAGAGACCTGAAGGATGTGGATAAGTAGATCCTGTTAGAAGAAGAAATTCCCAGTTATTTTTAAGTATTTTATATATATAAACCCCCCCATCTTGCCCTGGTGAAGACACCAGCGACCATAACAGTTTTTTTTCAGCAGATTGAATAGGAAAGTTTCAAAGGAATGCTATATCAAGAAAAACAGGAATAATCAACAGCAATCAACATGAACATACTGTTTGGTGTATCAGATATGGAAGAATTATTTGCTCCACGAACCAATTTTAGGAAACGACCTTTTACGCCAACTTCAAATTTAAACCGGAATGCGGAAACTAAAATGTCATCAACAACACCAACACCTCCTTGGATGAAGAAAAAGAATCCGGGAAATATGAATATACCAGTGCCACCTATATTCAGAACTGGAATCTTCAAGACTCAAGATACGGATGAACCAATTTTTCAACAACCAAAACAACCAGAACCAATTTATCAACAACCAAAACAACAAAAACCAACATATCAACAATCAACTAACCAACACAAACCAATCCTCATTGAGAAACCGGGACTTTTTTACGATGGATACCAATTCATGCAGTTCTTGAGGCAATACGAAAGGACGGCAGATTTACTTAATGCAACCAAATACGATCGAGCTCTACAGATTGGACGGTTTGTGCGAACTGAAGAACTGAAGTGCCAAATCGAGGCCATGGACGGATACAATGAATGCGACTGGGATACTCTGAAAGTCTCAATGATTGAAAGTTGGGGGGAATTTGACAATATAACTTCATATACAACCACCAATCTAGTCAACCTGGTAAAAGAATTTTCTAGGGATGATGAAATATTAAGCTACCAAGAATTTCAGATTTACCTTCAAAAGTTTTCAGAAATTCTCAATTATCTGGTCAAAAATGAAGATTTTAATAGTGAACAGGATTTCTCACTCCTTTTCATCAGTGCCTTTCCTCAACAGCTCAAGACAAATATCAAACAGACTTTAATTAACAACGGTCAACTTCCAAAAGTTCCTGATGGATCCCAATCACCTCCTCTTTTAAAACATGTAGCTGAGGCTGCTGAAAGGGAGATCAGATTGGAAGAAGACTATTGCAACTATCTACGTACCTTGGAAGCTCCTGTCCACCACTCACCAGAATTCACACCATCAATATCAGACTTGGCCAAACAGCTTGATTCACTCAAACAACAACTTCTGGAGGTACAATTGCCTGTTGAATGCAAAACTCCACAGCTGTTTGTCCCAATGGAACCAACAATGAATTATACGGAACCAACGATGTATTATACGGAACCAATGACGGATTATGCGGAACCAATAATTGAAACAGCAGCTACAACAATCAACCAACCGGATCTGGTGGAAGAATGGAAAGCGGTATCAGCAAACGTAATGGACACACCCATGGAACTTGCACATACAGTGATTGAAATACCAGAAACGGTGCTAGACGGACAGGATACAAAAAATTACGGGGATCATGAAGAAATATTGGATCAGTCTGGTCAACAAGTCAAGGAATTGGATCAGTCCACCCAGCTCCACAAAAATTATGTGAAATTCCTCCTTACAGAAATTCTAGAAGAAGATCCGGAATTTCCTAAAGCCTCAAAATTACTTTGGATTCAAAATATCAACGCACACCAACCAAAGCTCTTCAACAAACAACTTTTTAAACCTTACTTGGACGCATACGGATTATTTGAAGTTTTCAACAAAATTCCTCAACATCTGGAACACAAGACTACAGAACCTGAGAAAAAGGGTGATAGTATTTCTGTGACGTCAGCTCCTGTAGTTCTTGAAACATTAAACCCACCTATTCCGAGTCAGAATTTTTCATCATCAATTCAAATTTTTCCAACTCCAGAAGAAACCTTTGCGCTTCCGCCAGCACTGGGTCTATCAGATAATTCAACAACAATTAAAACTCTACTGGAAAAAGAAATTCAACTCAACTCATTAGTGGAAGATTCAATCATCAGTCTCTCTCACTTTATAGTGCCAAAGATTTTACTTTTCATATTACTTAAAAAACTAATTTTTCAACTACTCCTGAAGATTCCACCAGACTGCTTTGGACAACTGTATACCACATTCAACAGCCCAAGAATCCTTGTTGGAGTTGGTTAAAAATTTATCAAGAATTCTCTTTTCCCTTTTTTTCCTTCCTATACCTAAAAAAAAAAAAACATCATAAAAATAATAAAATATAAAACAAAACAAAAATCATCAGTTTCAAATTCTTCAAATCTTCATAGTCATAATAAAGTTGGGGGAGGAACTCACTCATTGTATCAGTCACTCCTTCAACCTTTCTCCCTTCACTTAGTATTTTTCCACTCACAATTTTCTTACTACTCACAAAACCCATAAAAATAAAATAAAGATAAAATAACAAAATAAAAATAAACAAAAAAAATAAAACCCTCATAAAAATAGAATACCTCCTAGGCATGAGACTAAACTGTTCACAACACAAAAACAAAATTACAATATATTAGTTTAAATTCTTCAACATCAGTCAGATGAATAATTCTTTCAAGTTGGGGGAGAACTGACATTCTTTTATACTTCACACTTTATCACCATTCTTCTTCAGATACACCTTGTTTATCTTTCTATGTCTTTAATGTATACATATATATGTATATTTCTTCTCTCTTTTCTTTCACCTTCATCACCATCATCCTTATCTTGATAAGATTCCAAATCTATCCCAAACACCTTTTTACTCTCCGAATTCCTTTCTTTCTTGTGGTTCCTCATTTTATTTTTCAAGTTTCTCAAAACTTACTCACTCACTCTCACAGTTGGGGACAACTGGTTTCTAAGTTGGGGGAGGGGTGTTGCTTTTATTCAAAGTTTTACAGTTTAAAATTTTCTATTTTTTTCTATTGAATTCTTTTTTCTGTCTTAGTTTATATACCTATGGATTTTTTGTCCATCCTTGAAAGGAGCAACAGTCGTGGATAAATTGTGCGGGCCGATATCGCTGGAAAAAAAAAAAGAAGACAGTCAATCTCAATATCATCAACACAGAAGAGCGGGTCCAATCCCAACTTGCAATCATATTAAAACAACTCGACAAGGCAGGATGACCATTGGACCAAAACACGAATACGGCAAGCTGACATCTTTTTATGGCTTGGGTGTTGGTATCGGCTTCGGCAAGGATATTTGGAAATCGGGAAGAAGATCGGGACGAGCATTCGTCCTGTTCAGCGTAGTGGTAGATGACACAAACTATCAGTACATGGATGATTGGCTGCTACAGCACGAGAATAGAAAGGAAATCACTCACCTTGTCCGAAGAACTCGGAAAGGTTGATCTTATTCACTGCGACCAAAGGAACCGGCCGGTGGTCAATCCTATTTGACGGCAGTGGCGATCCTATTTAAACGGGCATCGGATTCGATTTAATTAAGTTGATATCGAGGGAAGAGTACGGATACAGGGGTTTGAGAGACTCTTCATGAGGGATTGATGCCAGTATCGACTTGGAAATCGGAATTGGCTTCGGTGGTTTGTTCAGGATTGAGAATAGCATTTGGCAGTCAACTGACAGCTTGGGCCGAGCATGATTGGCTAAATGAAGAATACACCATCAGTACTGGTTCTTTATTCCAATCACGAATGGAAGAAAAAAAAAATCAACTCACCTTGTCCGAAGATTTTGGGACCGTTGATCCTATTCAAAACGGGCGGTGGATCTATTTAATTGATTCGAAGTTGAGGGAATCTTGCGGCGGCATCAGCTTTGGTATTGGTATTGGATACGTTTTTGGCATCGGCAAGGATGCTTGGCTGACGGTTGAAAGCTTGGGCTAAGCATCCAGGATGATCTCAAAGTTTTTATGATATCACAAAAGAAGAAAAAAAGATTAACTCACCTCGGCCGATATTTGCGGTAATCAATCCTATTCAAATGGGCGATTGGATTCGAACTCGATGCGAAGGTCGGAAGCAAGGGACCTGGAGGGAGTGGTTGATGCTTGAGGGATGAAGCCGTCTGGCTACATATCCTCAAGAACAGTGCACTCGATTCCGGACCGGAACAGCGCACACGGCTTGGAGCGCGAGCGCACTCAACGCACGGGCTCTGGGACGGGTATCAGGACCCCGAACCCCCAAATCAAACTCGAGCGTGACTTGGATTGGATCATGTAAGCTGCTGCGCACTCGACGACGAGTCGACGTCTTCTGCTGCGGACTGCGGACTGCGGACTGCGCATATTTTGACTTTTTTTTGAAAAAAAAAAAAAAGAGAGAGAAAGAGGCAAATTGACCCAACTTGAAAAAGTCAAGAATGCCCAAAACAGACATAAAATTAAAACCCTTGATGAAAAGAGGCAAATTGACTCAACTTTTGACAAAGTCAAGAATGCCCAAAACAAAATAAATTAACATTAAAATTAAAAAAAAACCTTTATGAAAAGAGGCAAAGTGATTAATTCTTTGGAAAAAAATCATGAATGCCCGAAACAGACAAAAAGTCTGAATATACACAAGGTAGCACAACTCCTCATTAAAACACATTCAGCCATTTTTTTGATGGAATTGTCTGGGGACAGACAATAAGTTGGGGGAGGATGTGGTAGCTGAATGTGTAAAAATTCAAAGTTTTTTTTCTTCATTATTCTTTTCTTTTTATATTTTTTTCCCTTATATTTCTACTCTTCTAACACTCATTAGAACTCAAGAAATGGACTCTAGGGCCCATTTCACTCATGGTCACCTCTGGAGACATCTCTGGAACTCACTGGCTTGGATGTTACACACCTCTGGACATGTACAACACTCAATTACACTCAATCAACTACACAGGACAACTACACAACACAAATTACACAAATACTTCACTACAGGACTCAGGTAAACAGATGACATCATAATCTTCTTACAGGTGCACAGCTTACACAGCCTGTCAGGTCAGGTGTACAGCATATGCAGCTTGTCAGGTCATGTGATAATCTTCCTGCAGCTGAGCTCATGCAGCTGTCAGGATAGATCATGCAGATTGCTAGGCTAGCACAAACCCCTCATGTACACTGCCTCTTCTAGCTAAAATAACTCAAATTACATCATGTAGGCTGTCCAACCAGCTAAATTACCTCATGGTACAGCTCTGACCAGCTAAAATCTCTCATTCTCTTGCTCCCTTGGAGCCAAAATCCCTCATTGTTGTCTATTTAAGGAGGCTCTCCTCCCAGTTGTTTTTCCCCTCAGTTTAGTACCCACAAATCAGATACCCCCTACCATTACATACCATACCATTAACATTACATACTGTAACAACCTTTACAACACCCTATAACAACCCTTACAATTGTAATACACACTAAACTCACTCTCATACTCTCAAAACCTCTTCTCTCATACAATTATATTGCGATCAAACAACTTATTCTCGAACCAACCACCCCTATCACTTGATTAAAACTTGCCAAGCTGAGCTTGGTGGGTCTTGTTATCTGATAGTACAGAAGGGCAGAGCTTGCAACTCCACCATACCCTTCTCCATTCAGCAAAAGGGTTCTCACAACCACTTTTGAGTCTTACAACGTGCCACACATCGCTTCAATGTGGTCCCAGCCATCGGTTTAAATGGACTGGTTGCTGTGTTAGTTCAGGAGGAGAACATGTATCGGTTTGACTTCGAGTACTACTCGGAGAACATCCTCGTAAGTCATCAAAAATTTTGATTTTGATTTTTCAAATACAAACTGATGATTGCTGTTTACAAAGCTCCCAATGATGCATCCATTTCCAGGACCTCAAAGTGTCCTGGTCTTGGACAACTCATCTATTCACCATGGTGGGCGGATCGATGCGATAATCGAGGCCAGAGGCTGCCTTCTCATCTATCTACCAACCTACTCACCTGACCTGAACCCGATTGAAAAAGGATTTAGTGTTCTTAAGTCAAATATGAGACGGTACGGAGAGATGCTTGGAGGAGCTGATGATAGAGAAGAAATTGAGGCTTTTGTACACATCGTTTTCACCCCCCAACTTGTTAGAAGTCTTTTCCGAGGGTCAGGATACATGGAGTAAACCCACTTCCCAGCACACACTCTCTCTTTCCAAAACCGTAACCAACATTCTTCTAGCTCTACCCATTGGTTTCAAGTCTATTGTATCTATTTGTCTACCCATCGGTTTCAAGTCGATTGTATCAATTTAGCAATAAATGCCAAACAACTGAATCACATTTAACAGAACCAAAATTGAGAAGATTCATAATTGGACTACACAGCATACTTTGGATGACAATTGATCCAAAAATAAAAGAGACCAATCAGAAATTGTACATTTCTTTTGAGCAGATTCAGACAGATGTGAGTATAGGGCAAAATAATGAGCTAGGCTTAATGCGAGACATGGCCGTTGAGCAACAAATTGACCTTTTGATTGTTAATTACACTTTGCTTGAGATTCATGCCTTCTTGATCTTCTTCAAGTGAGTGGGGTAGGTTTTCACCGATCTAATAAGGCATCTAGCTGGAACGAGTGGAACACCTGAAGTAACAAGCTCATCAGCTGAAACAACCTCGAACATACTCCAATGAGTGATACCAAGTTTGCGAAGACCATTGTTGATTTCTTCAGAGTCTGCATCAACCCTGGCAAACTTGAGGTAATCGCTGAGATCGGTGGTATCTTCAAACGGGGGAGGAGACGGATCGATGACGTTTGATTTGGATGGAGGTATTTGTACAGCTGACGTACTAGCCTGCGGATAAAAAGCTGATGGGTTTGCTTGATGAGAGTTACCAAAAGCTCCAGAGTAATTTCCGTAGGGCATCATTGGAGTTTGATAGGCCATCGGCATTGTGAACTGGTTTGGATTTGGATAAAACTGTTGCGGCTGACTGTTGTTTGGGAAGGTCGGAGGGTTTGGTTGCTCGGACTTGTTGTTTTTGTTTTTGAATTGGAATATTGGTGATTTTGGAGGCAACAAGACAGTGACCTCTTCAGGATTTGCTTGCTGTTGAATCACATGGAAATTATCAGCTAAAATCGGTGAACTCAATCAATCAAAAGGAATCAACTTACAATAGCCTTGGCCCAGGAATATGCTTTTTGCATCGTGATTAGAAAGTATTCGTCCGAATTCTCTGGATTGATATAGACCGAGGTCTCAGCGCTTCCAGAATGTTCTTCGGAGGGTGAGTGTACCAAGAAGATTTCTTGCAAGAGCTGGCTGAGGGCCGCTGTGTTCATCGCACTCGGTGATGGTACCAAGACTGGATTGTTCACATCAGCACTAGAGCTGGAATGGTTCTTTTCAAGTTGCTTATAAACTGATTGTTTCTGAATTCGGAAGAAGAAACGTGCCAACAGTCAGAGGGTTGATTGATAGCCTATCACAGAGTGAAATTAAGAAAACGAACCTTTGCAATGTCCTTTGGGTCTTTTTGTACCAAGCGACAAACGATCTTTCGGGTCTCGGAGGTCCCTTCGGCAACGAGAAGGAAGTCCTTGAATGTTTCCACAGAGTCAAGTCGTCTTTTGTGGTTACCTGCAAAGGCTCCTCCAAATGGGATAACGACGTTCCAGAAGATATTTCGGGCATTCTCTTGACGTTCGACAAAAAAACCAAGAAATTTGTCCTCCTCGCTCTTGATTCCCCTGATTACTTCAGCTTTAAAAGCATCGAGATCCTTATTGATGACCTTCCAGATGATGACAATCTTCTCGTTTTCCGACTGGATTTTATCGGTGGTCCCACCGGGAATCGGGGTCTTTGAAGGAACAGTTATATTTCTTCTTTTTTTGGGACTCCTACTCGCCTCCTCGCCAGGAACATAGAGAGTGAACTCGACATAAACAGGAAAGCTTTTATTTCCATCAGCGGAACCTACACCAGAAACCGATACTCCTGGAGTTTGAATCTCAACAGGCTGGTCGGACGTGCTCGATTGAGTAAGGATCGGCCGGCTTTCTGTGCTTGCCGTTTCAGTCAAGTGGGCCGTTCCATCGAACAAAACCGGAATGTGTGGGCCTGGGATAGAAGGACAATCTTGTCCAAATGTTCCGTCTTCATTCATTTGGTTTTGAAGCCATTCATATGCTGCTTGTCGAGATGGAGAAACGGGTCGATTGTTGGGCCTAGATGACATCTGCAGAATTCAATCAATCAACTTTAGTTCATCCAAAATCGAACAAGCGGAAATGAAGGATAAAATACCACTTGAGATTGTCTTGAATTTTGGTTTTAAGGATGGGTGAACAGGTCAATGGAGGATTGGTCAACAGCACCGGGCTGAGTAGCTCTGTTCTAGATGCAGCCAATGTGGCTGAAGCGGAGATGACGTCACAGATATGCACAGCAATTAGGCTTTTTCAGCCGCAGAAAACTTTTTTCATCTGTGTGCAAACTTTTTTTTTTTCTCAAAAAAACAGCAAGCATATGCAGAACTGCTGTACAGATCAAACAATTAGGAATGCTGATGATGTGTCAGATTGAGATCCAATTCTGGAAACAGTGATAAAATACTCTTACATAATGAGAATGACAATTTGAAGGAAAGGGCTGGAGAGGGCAAGTGACTGAAATTTTGGTTATTCTTCAACGAGGATGTTCTCCTTTGCTAGATGATTCAAGATAGCCTTTAAACAGGTCTTGGTCATATCAGAATCTGATTTTAAGCTTGTTGGACCGTTGAGAAATGGCTTGTAAGCACTCCTACATACCAAACTTGGTAGAGTGAATTTTCCGCAAGTCACCAGTCCCCCTTTTGACAGGGGCCGGGGTCTGGCGCCCCACTGTGTTGGTACTATTGAGTTGCATACATTGGGGTAGCGGGGCGATATATGGGTCATCCTCCTGGAGCATTTTATCTGAGACTGATATTTGGATTAAGTTGCTGTTTGTTTCCCAACTCCGATCCTCAACCATCTCCTACCTCATTTGCTATCGTGACCGTTTCGCTTCTTCCAGCTTACGCCTTTCATATCTGCTAGAAAACTTGCGGTGATGTCTGCCAAAGGTTTGTTCTTCGGAAAGATAGTGAAGCTGCTTGGCCCATCCCTTTCTACTCTACCCCACAGCTCTGATGGTACAGCACTGACCATTCTGATTGTTTTGGATCTTGTTCTTCGATCTCCCAACTCGTCCTTCCTCGCTCGGTTTCACATTTTCGGTTTTGCTCGGTCGGCTTGCCACCATTTCAGCCATTCGTGAGTATGACGCTAAACTGCTGGTTGCCCATTTCCTCGGCCGGGCTCCCCAGTTCGGCAAGGCTTGCCCTGCCCGACCCGAATTCAAGGCGCCTGAGGTCAAAGTGGCTCAAGTAAGCATTCCCCTCTTTCTTTTCTTTCAGCTCCTTTCTTAGTCAGCCATGTTTGCTCTTTCCCCACATCATGCATTTGGGGCTGCCGATCGAGAGTTGAATGGCTGGGATGATGTCATCCACTCGATCGAAGTTTCTTTTTTTTGAAGGGGTGGCTGACTCTGCCTGGTTGGTTGCCTATAAATAGATCTCCTGGGACCCTCAATCCAACACCATCACCCCCGACAGCAGTCTGCCCTCATGGGTCTTCAGCGAGAAGTTGGTCGTCAAGCCCGACCAGCTCATCAAGCGTCGTGGGAAGGCCGGTCTCTTAGGTCTCAACAAGACCTGGCCGGAAGCCAAGGCATGGATCCAGGAGCGCGCTGGCAAGCCCGTCAATGTCGAAGGCGTCGTTGGCACTTTGAACACCTTTATCGTCGAACCCTTTGCCCCTCACCCATCAGATACGTAAGTCTGATTTTGCTTTGAGTGGTAATACGGTGCTTGTTGGACGATTCATTGATGTTTTTGGCTGCTTAACAGCGAATACTACGTGTGTATCAACTCCGTACGAGAGGGCGATATGATCCTCTTTACCCACGAGGGCGGTGTGGATATTGGTGACGTCGATGCCAAAGCGGCCAAGATCACAGTCCCAGTGGATGGCGATCTACCAGACCGAGCCCAACTCAAGGCCGGTCTTCTCGCCGCTGTTCCTTCTCACCGCCAGGACGCACTGGTGGATTTCCTTGTCCGACTCTACTCGACCTATGTCGATCTCCACTATACCTACCTCGAAATCAACCCCCTCGTGTGCATGGAGGCTGCCGATGGTTCCCCTTCGATCGCCTTCCTCGACATGGCTGCCAAACTGGATCAAACAGCCGACTATCTATGCGGGGCCAAATGGGCGATCGGTCGTGAGACTTCCGGCGCTGTCAATGGCACCAAGACCTTTGCCGACCGTGGGCCCCCAATGGTGTTCCCAGCTCCGTTTGGACGTGACCTCACCAAGGAGGAAGCCTATATCCAAAAGTTAGATGCCAGTACCGGGGCATCACTCAAGCTTACCGTACTCAATGCACACGGCCGAGTCTGGACTATGGTCGCTGGTGGCGGTGCTTCCGTTGTCTACTCGTAGGTGTCATTTCCGAACCATTGCCTAGTTTTTTTTGTTTTCTGGATTGCACCGCTGACTTTGTCTGTTAATATGTTTTTCAACTCTATTTATCTTTTCAGCGATGCCATTGCTGCCCATGGTTTTGCTCACGAGCTTGCCAATTACGGAGAATACTCGGGCGCCCCGACCAAGAGCCAGACTTTCGAATATGCCAAGACCATTCTCGATTTGATGACCCGCGGTGAGCCTCATCCTGAAGGCAAGGTCTTGATCATCGGTGGGGGTATCGCCAACTTTACCAACGTCGCTGCTACCTTTGGCGGAATCATCGATGCACTCAAAAACTACAAGGAAGGTCTGCAACGCCACAAAGTCAAAATCTTTGTCCGACGAGGTGGACCAAATTACCAAGAAGGACTGAAGAAAATGCGCCTCATTGGTGAAACCCTCGGCATTGAAATACAAGTCTTTGGAGTACGTAGACTCACTCACTTTTTACTATATCACATCTGGCCGGATTGTTGATTCGTTTGTTTTGGCTGCACCATTTAGCCTGATACCCACATATCATCGATTGTCCCCATGGCTCTCGGAATCTCTAAACCCATGTCGAATGGCGTCCACAGCGGCCCAAATGGCACCACCAACCACAACACGGCCCCCGAAGTTAAGTCTGTCGCCTCACCCACAGCCCCAGAATCATTCGCTGCCACAGTGGTTCCTGAAAGCCGAGAAGAGCACGGCGTCGTCTCATTCGCTCAAGGAACTCCTGCCGAACGTCCTTGGTTCCGCCCATTCGATGAGACCACTCGCGGTTTGGTCTATGGACTCCAGCCTCGAGCTATTCAAGGAATGCTCGATTTTGATTTTGCTTGTGGTCGCAAGAAACCCTCGGTAGCAGCCATGATCTACCCATTTGGCGGCCACCACGTTCAAAAGTTCTACTGGGGCACAAAAGAAACCCTTCTCCCTGTGTACGCCACGATTGCCGAGGCTGTGAAGAAGCATCCCGAAGCCGATACCCTTGTAAACTTTTCCTCATCTCGTTCCGTTTATCAATCTACCCTCGATGCGCTTGAGATCCCCCAAATCAAATCAATCGCCCTGATTGCCGAAGGAGTTCCTGAAAGACACGCCCGAGAGATCCTCCACTTGGCAGAAAAGAAGAAGGTTATCATCATCGGTCCTGCGACTGTTGGTGGTATCAAGCCCGGCTGCTTCCGAATCGGCAACACTGGTGGGATGATGGACAACATCATCTCTTCCAAGCTCTACCGCCCCGGATCAGTAGCCTATGTTTCCAAGTCGGGTGGAATGTCGAATGAGCTCAACAACATCCTTTCTCTCACGACCAACGGCACTTACGAAGGTATCGCCATCGGTGGAGATCGCTACCCTGGAACCACATTCATTGACCACATGCTCCGCTATGAAGCAGACCCCAATTGCAAAATGTTGGTGTTGCTTGGTGAAGTAGGTGGTGTTGAGGAATACCGTGTGATCGAGGCTGTCAAGTCTGGACAGATCAAGAAGCCGATCGTTGCATGGGCCATTGGAACCTGTGCCAAGATGTTCACCACCGAGGTTCAATTCGGGCATGCGGGTTCGATGGCCAACTCGGACTTGGGAACCGCCGATGCCAAGAACAAGGCTATGCGCGCTGCCGGTTTCATCGTTCCAGACACATTTGAAGATCTTCCGGCGGCATTGAAAAAAGTCTACACGGGTCTTGTCAAGGACGGCACCATCAAGCCCAGCCCAGAGAGGGATCCTCCAAACATTCCTGTTGATTATAAGTGGGCGCAAGAGTTGGGAATGGTCCGAAAACCCGCTGCATTCATCTCAACGATTTCTGACGAGCGGGGCGCTGAGCTGTTATATGCTGGCATGCCCATCACTGATGTTTTCAAGGAGGAGATCGGAGTAGGAGGAGTCATTTCATTGCTTTGGTGAGTCGATCTTAGGCACACAGGGCGTCTAATGCTAGTGATACTGATCAAGCTACACCTCGTCCTCAAAGGTTCAAACGACGGCTGCCACCCTATGCTTGCAAGTTCCTTGAGATGTGCTTGCAACTCACCGCCGATCATGGACCGGCTGTATCTGGAGCAATGACGACCGTCATTACCACACGTGCCGGCAAGGACTTGGTCAGCTCGCTGGTCGCCGGTTTATTGACCATCGGAGACCGATTTGGTGGGGCCTTGGATGGAGCTGCACGCGAATTTTCCCGTGCCAAGGATACTGGACTGACCCCACGAGAATTCGTCGACTCGATGCGCCGAGCCAACAAATTGATTCCAGGGATCGGCCACAAGATCAAGTCGAAAGCCAATCCAGACATGCGAGTCGAATTGGTCAAGGATTTCGCCAAGAAGAACTTTCCCAGTGTCGAGATGCTGGATTATGCTTTGGCAGTTGAAGATGTGACGAGTTCGAAGAAAGACACCCTGATCTTGAATGTGGATGGTTGTATTGCTGTTTGCTTCTGTGATCTGTTGAGGAATTCGGGTGCTTTCAGCAGTGAGGAAGCTGATGAGTACATGCAGGTTAGTCAAGGGATAGGTCTTGTTTTTGAGAATTGTACTGAACAATTGATTTGCGTCTTTGGAACGATAACAAATAGATCGGTACCCTGAATGCATTATTTGTCCTTGGCCGAAGTATTGGATTTATCGGTCACCATATCGATCAAAAGCGATTGAAACAAGGCTTGTACCGAGCCGAGCAAAGCGACATCTTCATTGAGATGGGCAACACTGGGATCTCTGATCGAGTGGTTGTCCGTCCCAGTTGAATGTGATGTCTTTCCTTCTTGAACCTACAAAAGGCAGCCCAAATGCTCTTGAGCAGTTCACCCTTAGATCAAAATGTATACAAAGACGTTCGGTTCCTCCCGAGAGATTGTTATTATTTCGGCGCTCTTTCCAACCAAATCATCAAAGTCTGATACATGAGCGTTGTCCTTTTAAAATTGAACTACTAAACTATTCCACTTTCTCTCCTATTTGTATACATCAATGTTCTCAATCCATTGTGTTTACGTTTTCTTCGTTGCTTCCATGATATCTTCACTTTTTCTCCAACACTATCTTATGTTCGTAATTATTTATCAAATCATCTGGCTTCGACCAAGTAGGGAAAAACTCGCTTGGTGCTATTTGTGTTCTCACCCGTGCATTGACTGGTCCTTCTACACATAAGTTGCACACACTGAATCCCTCTCCTGTACAGCTGGTGTTTGTTTTCCAATATTGCGCATTTGGATTTCTTGGAACCCACATCATGTTCCATCTTGCCTTGGATACTCTTGTGTGTGGAGCATTTGGATTTCTGAAAGCCAACTCAACCAGCTGTGTCTTGTCCCAGTGGTTTGGCCTGGTAATGCCTTGTTCAATTCAATGTTATGGCCTTACAAGGCACAACTCAGAGCTGCATGGTGCTACATTTACATGTCACTTTTCCAAATGGGATATGGTCCTGCATTCCTCAACTCTAGGCATCAATCCAATGTTACCTTGGACCAAATTGATACTGATAGGTGCAAAAAAGAAGGATTGTGATACTTTTCTTGCACACAGTTTCAATTAAATTCAAGACATCATCTCAGCCATCTTTCTCTTGGTCCCAACACATTCTAGACTTTTCTTTCATAGCCGCTCAACTCTTGTCACATCTTGAGCACCCAGGGCTCCAACTAGCATGCATCTCTGCATTTCATGCAGGATCTTAACCTGAGGACTATCCATTGTCTGAACAATGGTACAGTTAATCTCAACAATAACTTGTTAAATCACATGCATTTTGGAGCTGCATAGGGTCCAGTGATCTTGCATTGCCCAAGAGTATTTGAAGCAATCTTAGAATTGGATTCTTCAGATGTTTCTCTTGTTCAAATATTGCAACAAGACCAACTATTTCATTTCTTCTTCTGTGTGATGCAGTACCTCTGATGTTTGGCCTAATTATGAAGGATGAGACCATCAAAGCTATCTGGATTGACTGGAGTTCAGCACTGTGTTGGCTGATGGATAAGAAATTTCATTAGATGGAAGCCATCAGTTGATGTGCAATAAGATCACTCTTTAAAACAATCAGATAGCTTGGTGAACCCTTTTTTGAATCAATCAAACCAGAACCATCAATCTTACTAGATGGCCCTGGCAGGATTTGGCTGCAAAACCCAACTTTGGGAAAACATTGATAGCAATCTACAGATAACACAATTTGTTGGAATTTCACAGTTGTGTCATCTAATTTCCTCTTTCATCTCTTCTCATGTCACTTCTTTCACCTGTCACTCTTTTTCATTCCCTCCAGTTGCATATTCATTTCTCCTTCTGTCCCACAACCTGGCTTCTCACAGTTGTAATAGATTAACTAGATTCTGAAGTTAGAAATGGAAATCATCTGTTCAGCTGTGCCTGATCCCTGGAGTCTCTACCGGATACAACTCCTTGTAGTGTGTGTGCTTTTCCACCAGGCAAGCTAGCACACTTAGCCCTCTTTGAGGGCTCCAAGACCATCATTTTCCCCTCTGAGCTTTTCCTCAAGGTTCTTCATCACCCGGTCTCTTCTCCCATCCTCAGGCCAAAAATCTTGACATCCTCCGGCCAAAAATCTTCAGTTTCTTCACAATTGTTTTTCCTGGAATGAATTGCATAAGAAAACATATTGTACTTGTAGATTTCCATAATGATAAACCACTGTTTCATAATGGAATTATTCTCCATTTTTCAAGAAATCAATACATCCCCCTAGAAGTGATCTGCAACTAAAATTGTATGTCCACTTTTAAGGGCAGCTTCCTAAGTTTGTAAGAGATCTGAATGGAGCTTGACTTGGTGAGAAAAATGAAGAATGTTACACAGGGAGTGTCTATGGTCTTCCAAAAAAACTTGATTTGTTATTAATCTCCTGTTAAATTTAGGCTAAGTGCAATTCACTTACGTAAGTTACAGCTGTTGTGCAAATCATTGCTGGCAGAGACCATAGTATTATATTTTGTTTCTTTTTCAGAGCAACCGTTTGTTTAGTTATCCAAGGAGCGTTAAGTGAGAAAAACTAGGAAAATCAATCACAATCAACATGAGTCTACCGTTCAGTACACCAGATTTGCACCATCAGCCCCTTTTAGGAACCAATTTTATGACCAACCTTCAGGATCAACTTCAGCTTTCAATTCGAATTTGGAACTACAATGCCACTTGTATACCAAAAGCCAATGGCCAACTCAAATTCTTGCGGAACCTAGCCTCTACTATGATGCAAATCATTTTACGACATCTCAATAGAAATTTCTTGGACTAATTTTTCAGATGAAAGAATCAAAAATGGTGTTCCAAACGACTTGATAGATTTATGTAAATGGAAGAGACAATGGTGTTGAAGATTGGACTAGTTTTTACAAATGAGGATGTTGATCATATTATATTCCCCCTTACCATTTTATAATATGTTAAATTAGGTTGATTATGTGATACAACAAATCACTTCCTCATTGGCCAAGCAAGCCAAATTCAACACATGGGCCAAAAAACTCAACTACTCAGGGCCCACTCTGATCGCCGGGTACGGTATCCGCTGGAATATAAAGTTTGAGAGCCACGAGCGGGGGTATATCACACAAAACATCATCAACAAACTGATTGAGAACAAGCGAGACAGAGAAGATCAAAAGGGAGGCAAGAACCACTTCAACAAATACAAAATCACACAAAGCAACTGGGACATTGTCAAGAAATTGAATGACATCATCAGTGTAAGCTGTTCCTGTTGAGCTATACATACTGTTGTATTCATTTTCTATCTGCTTTACACATGTCTTTAACACTTTCATATCATCATCCCACCAAGTGCCCGGCTCCCCGTTCCATTCCTGGCTGAAGCATAGTGCTCCCAGCACCTGCACCTTGGTATTCAATTCACCTCTTTTTAACTTTATATACCATCAACCTTGAGGTTGCACATTCAAGTCTCAATCTCAACAATATTACCATCACCACTTCTACCAACAATAACCTCATCAACATTGACATCATCACCAACAATCACCATCAATTTAACCGCTATACAAATCAGTCGACAGCTACATCTTGAACTATCCTCTATCACAATATTTAAACTGCCAAGCTGAGATTGGTGGTCTTGTTGTTCTGATAGCACAGAAGGGCAGGCTTGCAACTCCATCATCACCTTCTCAATTCAGCAAAAGGGTTTCACAACCACTTTTGAGGCTTACAACACAAACAGGCACTCAACGACCAGGCAGCAAGAGATGAAGACACCCCCCCCCCTACACCCAAAAAGAACACAACCCTAGCCCCGGGTGGAGGACTGGAGGAAGATGTCAACTTCTTTTTTGATGCTGCACCAGAGACCCATGACAAACTGGCAGTGTACCTTGGCGGTAAGTATTGGCTGCCCTCTTCACAGGCTTCTGACTGCTTAAGTTGGTGGAAGGTGGGTTAACTCTTTTTATATTTGAAGATCTGAGTTTTTCATCTGATCATCCTTTCTTTCTACAATAAAGCAATATTCAACATAATTTCCAGTGGTGGCGCTACTGGCACAAGACTACCTGGCTGCGAGTGTGGAGCAATGTTTTTTGGCCGGGGCAGACGTTTGCGGGCAAGATTGAGGTAACTTAGCCGCCAAAACAATTGATAGATTTGTAAGTTCACACCAATGGATTACTCAAGGGATAAAGCCCAATGGCCCAGGACATAATCTCTGCTACTCAAGCGGAATTGCAAGCAGCCAAGACCAAAAAAAACACCTGTGGCTTTGACCTCAAGTGTCAAAGGTTGATTTGCTCTCTACCAGTTATTTTTTATTTTTTCATCCATATTCACAGCCTCTAGGCTCTACCAACCCCCACTCAGTCTCTCAAATTTTATTTTGAAAACTTGAAAGAAAAATCCCTTGAAGAAAAACATAGTTGTATATTTCTTTATTTCTTACATTAATTATGAAACTTATAAATACATTACAGTTTACAAACAATGAAAGAAAAACTCTCAGACTCTCCATGTTTAGAAAAATATAGTCATATTTTCACTTATCAATTTTCTATTTTATTTTATGTCATAACTTAAAAAAAATCTATACAAAACAATTTTTTGGCCAAAAAACTGCAATTATGACTGATCCCTCAGATACCGTATCAGTATTGGATCCGTATTGCAATGTGATACCAATGCCACATGCCCCAATATTGCTTGCTGCAATCTGATACCCTGGGTATTGGATTGGGTGGGCGATCCAATCCCCGGTATCAATCAAGCAATCTGATCCAATAAATTGGCCAATACTGTATCACATTGATATAAATGACACCATGTATCAGAATTGTTTTGATATGTATGTAGCTCAAGAGTGTACATCCTCGGGTCCGGGAGGTTTTCTCTCAGTTGTTGAGGGTGTACACTCTCATTTGTTGAGGGTGTACACTCTCAACGGCTGAGAGTGTTTCTCTTGGTTGTTGAGGGTGTACACTCTCAACGGCCAAGAGTGTTTCTCTTGGCCTTCGGGAGTGTAGATCCTCAACGGCTGGGAGGGTTTCTCTCAGACATCGAGGATGTGCCATCAGGGGCCAGGAGCAATCCTTCTGGCTTTTGCGGGCTCTTTTTGGTTTGCTGACCCCCAAAAACCAGTGGATTTTGGGGCATCAACCCCCAACTCCTTTGGGGGTTGGTATTTTTTTAATTAAATATCTTGTGGATCTGACTCCCAAACCTGCTGATGGGTTTGGGGGATTGAATCTTATTTCAAGGGGAATTTGGTGTGAAATTCAGGGGTTTGGGGTTTGGGAGTTGACTCTCCAAATCAATTCTTGGGAGTCAATTAACCAAGACCTTATTTCATCCCATACATCTTCTTTCTCATCCCACAGACTGTTATATAATCTCACTCATCATCCTCTTCTTTCATACACCATTTACTTCATACATCAATTATTTCATACTACATTTATTTCATACTACATTTATTTTGTTCTACATGTATTTCATACTACATTTCTTTCATATCTTACATTTCATTTTAACACATTACACATTGCTTATGTCACCTACATATATACCTCACCACACCACATGTATATAGAGAATCCATTTCTCTACTTGCTTTGTTCCCCATGCTTGCATGATGGAAGTAAACAGATAATTACTTAGCAGACATCACTTACTAGTAATTACCAGAAGTAATTATTATTGATTTTCACCTAGAAGATAAGAAATTGAACCCAGAAACCACTTTCCCCCAGAGCCTCATCCTTAACAAAATTCCCCACATCCTCAATCTCTCAGCAGTTGCCTTGTACAAGACATCAGTAATGAATCTCATACTAAGATTACCCTCAGAAATTGCCACAACTTTTCTTTAATTCTTAATGTAACTCTCTCCCAAGACTTTACAATAGGGAAGCTTCATCAGCATCCAAGTTTTCAACTCACATTTTCCCCTTCTAAGTTGTTCTTTTCCCCTCTAAGCTCTTTTCTTTAGCTTGAAAAGTGCTCTTTTCTTTAGCTTGAAAAGTGCTCTTTTCTTTAGCAAGTTCCAAAACATGGCAAAATTACGCTTTGCTATGCGCAAGTTTAGTGGGATTCCGCTACATTACACCACACTAACACTATGGTTAGTGTAACTGGCCCATCGTGGTATTCTAAATAGTTAGGTTAAATCTTTTATTTGTTTTGATGAAGGTTATATATCATAATACCTGGGGGAAAAGATCTCTCATTGTTGCTAGATCTTATTCTTTATATATCTAAGAATGGAAATAGGCTGTGTTGGAACTTTGCCTCTTTTCTTCTCATCCCCAAAAAACTCATCTATCTCAACATAAAATAGGGGATTAATAAATGTACCCCCCTTTTCTGCTATCCACACCCAGTTTTTCACACCCGCTTTTCTGCTTTTAAACCCGGGTTTTCCCAGCCTTTTTAATTCATTTTTAGGGGATTTTCAATATGTTAAAAATCATCTGAAATTCAGCATTCTTTTCTGGTATGTCAAAAATTCCCAAAAGAGCATTTCAATTTTTCTCTCCCATTTTTTCCCCAATTTTTTATCCTTATGAGTTTTTTAAAACTTGAAGTTAGCTGAAACTCATTATTAATTGTCAAGTTTTTCTTTTTTTGTTCCAACTCCCTATTTTGTCCACTCACTTTAAACCAACAAAATTGAGATTGCCAAAACAAAATTAAATTTGGTTCTTTCTATAAATCTATACTATTTACTACATACCCAGGACAACTATGTAAACTATGTTTTATTAAAAAAATCGTTTTATCCAAATAACTTTTGACCAAGTGGAGCTAGCCTGGTGGTGCCAGTGAGTGGCTACGGGTAAAATGACCTTTAGAATCTATCAACGCTGGGCCAGCTACACTAACGGTAGTGTTAGCCTAGCATAGTGTAGCGCAAATACGCTAAATTGTAGCATAGTGTTAGCTCAGATTTCTGTATCTGTGCTAACGCTACGCGTGTGGGCCACACAAAAGGGCCCACTATGCTGTGCTACAGCGCATTTTAGCGGTTTTTTGGCATTTTTTGCCGCTAAAAGCGCTGTAGCGTAGTGGCACTAACAGCGCGCTGTTCTGAGGGCCGCTACGCTAATGTTAGTGGGCCGTTTAGCGTAGTGTAGCGTAGCGGCCCACTGTTGAATCTATTTAAGCAACAATAACACCAAGAATATAGCCTATTATCAGGAGTGGATCATGAATTTATGCAATTTGGTAATTGAAACACATTTGGCACACTACACCGTCAAGAATTTTACAACATTTGCTGGCCAAGAGGAATCCCTCTTGGCCGCTGAGAGCTCTCTGGCGTCAACTCACAACCCCCCTGGGGTTTTTAGGGGATTAACCACCCAAATAGTCAACATATGCCAACCTCAAAGCACCTCTCTGAGCAACATGAAACCGACTTCTTCTCTAAAAAAAACTTCCCTAAAACTTATCTCTAAACCTAATCCCTATCCCTATCCCTAACACCTAATGTCAATTGAGGCCTTGATTGAGAAGAGAGAAATTTCTTTTTGAAATTTTTCAAGTCAAACTTGGATGTACATGGCAATATTTGGCATTTTTGGCATGTTTGAAATGTTCTCAAACTGGTGTAAACCATGCTTGAAGGACCTCTCACATTTCTCAGAGAAGTGCTTTGAGGTTGGTATATGTAACCCAATTAGGTGGGATTGACTCCCAAAAACCCCCTGGGTTTTATTTATTTATTTGGGGATCAACTCCCAAACCTGTCAAAGGTTTTGGAAGTCTGAATCCCAATTACAGGGGTCAGGGTTGGACATCCTGAGGACCTTCCAAAGCCGTTCCTCTCAACATACCAGAAATTTGGGAGTTGGAGCTCCAAATTAACTAAGACCCTATTTTAATTAATCATCTCCAATTATTTTTACCATGTAAGGGGTTAAATAGCCAATCTCCTGGAAAGCTGTCCTAGATTGTTGACCTTGAAAAAACCATGGGATAATTGTTGATAGATTGACTTTTCTGTGCATTGAAATTTTGGTGAAAGGTGGGGAAAAGACACAAAGAATTGGTAAACTGAATCAAATTCAAGTTCTTTGATCACTCCCCAGCTTTAGTAATCATTCTGGATTGATGCTGTAGATATAGTTATATGAACTAAACACAAAAATTAGTTGTAATCCATGCTACTGATTAAAAATCCAAAATATCCAGCTATTGATATCACTGTACATGTTTATTCTAATGAATAGGAACTAAGAGTTTGAAAATTTTCTGATTTGAATCCATCTTGTTCAAAATTAGGAATTCAAGGCTGATCTTCTTCTTTGAGATTCTTGATCTCTCAAATTAAAATTTGAGTCATGATTGTGCTGAGATACCCTGTATGTAGATCTCATATGCTTGTATGTAGGTATGCTTATACTAAGTCTATCAGGTCTACTCCGTTACTGGTCTCTCTCCAATTCCATTTTCCTCACTGAATCTAACATATATTCTCACTTGTCAACCTAATTGTGAGTCTCAACATCTCCCTGAGTTTCTGCCAGCTATGTGTATGAAACTTTGGCTTAGTTAATATAAAAGCCAAGTACTATCACTGTGCTGAAGGACTCAGTTTAAAGACCAAGATTACTCCTAGTCACCCTCAAAGTATTAAGTGGTCCAAACTTCCCACTTAAGAGGTTAAAAAGTCCACACTCCTCAGTTAAAGACACTTGAATAATCAAGAGAGCACTGTAGGAGACAATAACAGAATATGTTATTGTAGAGTGTTTGGAAGCAATAATTAATATTGCAAGAAGTAGCTGGCAAGCACCTGAGCTGAAAGGCTACAGCCAGAGGTGGTGGTCTTGCAGCAACTACTTTTTGAGGAATTAGTTAAGTTTTGAGTCTGGGAGAACTCTCAGCTTAATAATAATTCCAGTAATAAGGTAGGGCTGGATTGGATAAAAAGACTACTCTAAAAGTATGTGGAGAATATTCACTGTACTCACTTAGTTTGTTGGGGGTGAATATGCTGAGGAACCAATCCTAGGCAGGAGAAGGCCTCCTTAAATATTCTAGAGGTCCCTTAGAGGCCCTCCTTAAGATATTCTAGAATCTCACTTTTGGTATACCATGGTAGAATTATTCCCCTGATGTAATGGGAATAATTCCAGGTATTTCAAATAATGTATATTCTATGTCCCATGACATCATGATGCATGTTTATAGCCAATTACATCATGTGTCTCCTTAAATAGAATATTACAAGTAGATAGTGCCACACTCTTGACATAGTGTGGTAATTTCTTTTCTGCAAGTTTAATAATTTGATTATGCTTGTAGAATAAAATTTCCAAGGTTACCTTAAATGTATATTTAACCCTAATTCAATATAAATTAATTTTATTCTATAATTTTGTATATTATATTCCTTTTGTCCTTCAAGGTTTTGAATATATACAAAGTCCTTGAAGGAGTAGGAATTTGGGGACACTTCCAGTGGACAACCCCATTTATCATCTTATGAAATATTGTTTTATTAAATAATATTGTTACATATTATATTACATATTGAGTATTTAATACTTAATATTTATTATTTATTATTTTGGCAGTCTTTTGGATACTATGGAGTATCTCTAAGGATGACAGTTTCAGTCACCTGGGTTCCTCTCAACAGATTTCCCCAACTGCTTGGGCTTTAGTTTACCTGGTTAATGTTGATTCTACTTTGACTGTTTTAGACAGCCTCCTTCCTATCACAGATTTCATGTTGAAAACTTTGGTTTTGTTTCAATTTTCCCTTTCCCATCCCTCTTTCTGGAAGGTGTGACCAACTTTTTATTTTGATTCTGTTGGGTCAATGTTGAAGCCATAGATCAAGTAGTAGGAGTAGGGGTTTGAGTAGCAGTATCATACCTGTCTTTTTTGAATCATTGGGATTTGGGCTTGGTGATGAAATTATAAGTTTTGAACACGGGAAACAGGGGATAGAAGCAACCGAAGCAACAAGCTCAAGATTGTCTTGAGGAAGAAAAACAAGTTCAAAGCACCTCAAAAGAGGCTTAAGCTGCTAGCTTGCAAAGCCGAAAAGCGCTCACGCTACAGGTAGAGATGGCCCCAGCGCATCCGGATATCCGGCTGCATTTTCCGGGGACAGCACCATCCACAGCCGCTGGCAGATATCCCCCCCCCTGCCTTAGTGGGTATCCGAGCGGGTATCCTCAGATACCCGCCCTTTAAAGGGCCGGCGAGGCACCGGCTGGAAGGGTTTCCTTCCAGCAGGCGAGGTACATCCTTGCCAACTGGAAGGGCTTCCTTCCAGCAGGTGAGGTACATGTACCTTGCCAACTGGAAGGGCTTCCTTCCAGCAGGCGAGGTACATGTACCTCGTTGACTGGAAGGGTTTCCTTCCAGCCGGCGAATGCTTCCTTTCAGTTGACGAGGTACATGTAGTCTCCGGCGGGAAGGGCTTCCTTCCAGAAGGTGAGGTACATGTACCTCGCCGACTGAAAGGAAGCGGTCCAGCCAGCGAGGTACATCCTTGCCAACTGGAAGGACCTCGCCGGCTGGAAGGAAACTCTTCCAGCCGGCCTTTGGCCTTGGGTATCCGTGGGGATACCCGAATATCCGCCAGATTTGGGTGGGAAAACGGCCATCCGCAGCCAAATCCGCACCCCCTGGCAGGTATCCGCCAGGGGATAGCAAGTATCTGCGACGGATACCCTTTGACCATCTCTAGCTACAGGAGGTTGTATGTCTTAGAGACCTCAGGGAAATGCGCACAGAAAGCAGATGCCCTTCAATTTCTAACTCAGGAGCATGATTATTTATCTACATACACAAGTGGGCTGAGATGTGGGACAGAAGGTGATAGAGGCATATTCATCTGGAGCAGGAAGGAAATGAGTGACAGATCAGGAAAGGAGTAACAAGGATGTGAAAGGGAGAGAAAGGAAGAACACCACAACTACAGAATTCCAACACTTGGTCTGTTGCAAAACTATACTACATACTGCTTGGGGTGTCTGAATGAACCATTTGGTTGACCAAGACTGAAGATCAAGTTTATGGCCACCAACCTTGATCTCAAAATTGGATGAAGGAGTTTTGATTGTCGAAAACTAGATTTGATTTAGAAAAGACACGATTGATTGCAGCTCAGGCTACCTTCCCTTATATGTTGCACTGAAAATTGAATAAGCTTATATTCATCACCCCCCCTCCCTCCTATTTTACTTGCAACAGCCTGTGGGTTCTCCCCTTTGTTCCCCTCTTCTGCCTCTTGGACTTGCACTTGCAATTGGGCCAAAAGGTCTATATAGCCCTTCTTGACCTGTGAATCATATTCATAGGCTCAGTCCAAAGTGCACTGTGTTTGAGAGCCTTCCTCCTTCTGATTCTTATTTCTTCTCCTAGCTGTAGGGATCAATTTATTTTTGCTTTGTCACATTGTAGAAGGGATTTTTTCCCCCCCCCCCTTCTTTTTCCTGTGAGGGTGCCCAGAATGCGAGCGAGACCCTTGTTGCAGAACAATCCAACGGAGCGATTCGCGATCATGAGCACGGATGACTGACGCAACCGACATATGCAAACTTGAGTCAGGGTGGGTGATCTGTGTCTGAGGTCATCGGTGAGGTCAATAGCATCCTGAGTCCAGGGTGTGATCCAGTATCCGAATGCCAAAGCACCTTATCGGAGAGAGTATTACGCGACAGACCCGTCATCACTAGCCATGCGCTAGAATGTCTGCATCCGCCTGGTATTCCGTTGCCAAAAATGCAATTGCTTCACGATTACTTTGCCTTGCTCCTCTGCTATCAGGGTTTTTCTTCCTTGCCCTACCTAGCTCTGCCAGTCTACTAAGAGATTGGAATTCCCTGTTCAACAGGCTGTTGGGTATAAATTGGGGCTACCCAGTCAACATCGGCCATCTCTCATCACCCTCCCATCGCTCTCCTTGTATAGAATTGTCTCTCATAGCTCTTTTTCTTCGATCAATCTCGCACTTTTACCAATTATCCGTCTCCAAGTTCTCTGAGAAGGAATTCGACTTTACAAATACTTCAGATCATTGTTTCATAGACTCACTCGACACGTTTCTCTCAGAATGGCTTTCTCACTACCCCTCATCAGTATCCTCATGTCATGGATCAGTTACCAGACCATCAGCGCCCATCCCTTTGGGATGTTCCCTGGTCCGGGTCTTGGAGGTATGTCTGGAATGGGTGGCGGTATGCCAGGTATGTCCGGAGGTTTTCCCAAAATGGGCGGCGGCTTCCCCAAAATGGGCGGCGGCTTCCCCAAGATGGGCGGCGGCTTCCCTGGAATGGGCAGTGGTTCCTCTGGAATGGGCGGCAGTGACGGTACGGCCGGAGACACCAGCACTGGCATTAGTTCAACTTCGGTCAAGACCGAGCTTTCCGAATCTTGTAAAAAAGCAGCGACTGCTTTGTCGGAGGGCGAAATCGCAACTTGCGCCAACATTCCGGCTCTCTTAGCACTTCCTAAAGTCGAGGGATCCATCGTCCCTGCCATCAACGTGAGTTCACCAACTTTTATTACCACCGTCCTTTTTTCATCCGCTGATCCTCTACTCTTCCCTTTCACGCGCTGCCTTTCCTTAGACCTGGGTTACAGGTGCTTGTTCAGCTGTACCATGTACTCAAGAGGCGTTAAATACCGCTGCCGAAAAGTTCAAAAAAGAGTGTCAAAAAGACATGGAAGATGGATCCGCCCCGGCCATTGGAATCTACTCCCACCTTCTGCATTACAAGGAAGCTAGGTAAGTCTCATAGATTCCGTCTCTTGAAATGTGCAATCCTGAACTCTGAGTTAATAATGTGGTCCTGCTTACTTCTCTAGGAACACGTTTTGTACCCAAAGCAAAAGTGACTCGAAGTTCTGTATCCCTTCAGTTATGGCGGCACTTGAAGAGAAAGCCGGTGTCAAAATCACGAATGCAGGACTGAAGGCCGCCATGTCTGGCAAATATACCAAAGACTCCATTGCTTTTATCCGTGTCCCCAAGGTTCGTGCACGCTCATTCCACAAGATCAATCACTAGTCAATCCTGAATGCTGACAAAGCTCTCGGTTTGTTTGCCCACCAGGAAACATATTGCACGCCTTGCAGTCATGCCCTTGTCACCCAAGCGGCTATCATGGTAGAAGCTATAAGCAATGATCCAAAGATCAAATTCAAACACAGCTCCGCTCCACAAATGGCGAAAGTTAGCCAAATCTGCGGCGAGTCATTCGAGGACCGCAAGATTCCTGAGTCGGTTCAAATTGCCGCACCGGGGACCGGAAAAGCCGAGGCTGGCGGAGCAAAGGACCAAGCCGACATGTCGAGCAAACTCCAGGAGACCGAAGCTGCCCCTGAGAAGGCGCCCAAGGAGGCCGGAGCAAAGGGCAAGGCCGACGCATCCCCCAAACCCGAAGCTGGCCCTGAGAAGAAGCCCAAGGATTCTGGCCCTCCTGCTGAAAAACCCATGGACGCAGGCGCCGATGCTGAGAAACCAAAGGATGGCCCAACTCCTCCCACCACAACTTAGGGCGCCGCCGAGGGATCCGAGAAGCCGAAGGACCAAGACTCTGGCAACCAAGGAGCTTAGGATGTTAAAACATGCACTGAGCCTAGCTTACATCTTCTTTCAATTTTCGACAGCTCAGGAAGCACTTTCTTTTCACCCCATCGAGATCATCAAGAATCTCTCTCTTTTTTTTCGTGTGCAGTTTCTTCCAATTTTCAATAACTCAGGAAGTCGTTTGTTTGTTTACCCCACAGAGAGCATCAAGAATCTCTTTCTGTTCTTTCTTTTAAGTTAGTGGTACTGTTTGTGTTAGATGCATAGATATATGATAATATCATTTTGAACAACCCTTTTATACAAATCCCGGGGTAAAACTCACCGGGTCTGAGAATTCATAAACTTGCTAACTTGCTCGATTTCAGACCCCATCGAGTGCCACAACCTCCGTGTTCGTGCCTTAGGTGGAGCAGACCAAGACCTATATTAGCAGTTTTTTCACATGTCTGGAACAACCTGACTTCTAAAGTCTTGCAAAGGCAAAATCAATTTGATGAATGAGTTTTCGTCATTTTGGAGAGAAACCAAATATTCCCAAACAGTTCAGTGTCACCAAACGGATGATGAAATGATCACACATGGCTGTTTTTACGGACTTTGGCTCGAGATGAGAGAGTTTTTTTTCCAGGCCTCTTTATTCATCAAAGCATTGTTCCTCGAACTCTCATCTCATTTACTTGTTCTATGCATAGGGGAATCGTGAAGAATTGTTAACTTGTTGCCGAAGGGAAACGCCAATTTGATTTTGGTGAAGATGGGGCGTGATTTTGCGAATCTTATGATGATATGAAGGACCATCGGGCTATGTTACCCAAGGAGCCTGGGATTCACCCATAGATTACCAGGAATAGTGCTTGTCCCTCGAGATGTCCCTGTAACTGAGGGTGACAGAGCTACACGCCTTGAAGAGATGACAGCGATACACACTTGGAATGAGACTCAAGAAAACCGTACCTTCCGGGGGAGATATGAGGATTTGATGACTATCTATCATTAGTTATAATATTTCAGGAGGCAAAAGAGAAAGATATACGATTGAGTGACGAAAAAATACTATCACAATGGAGTCAAAGCGTTGATATATATAAATAAGAAACAGCTGGTAGTCATCTATTCATACAAGAACAGCGCTTATTCTTCGTGTGTTTTGGAAGAATGGAATAGAATAAAACAGCCTCATAGGAGGAACGAGAACCTTTTTCGATATCTTGAGATGTGAGAATGAAATTTTGAAGAAGCTTTTGCTGAATTCAAGAAGAGAAAGTCATCTTCAACTGGGACGGACGACCACTCGATCAGAGATCCCAGTGTTGCCCATCTCAATGAAGATGTCGCTTTGCTCGGCTCGGTACAAGCCTTGTTTCAATCGCTTTTGATCAATATGGTGACCGATAAATCCGATACTTCGGCCAAGGACAAATAATGCATTCAGGGTACCGATCTATTTTGTTATGGTTCCAAAGACGCAAATCAATGGTTCAGTACTAATTCTCAAAAACAAGACCAATGATGCCCTGACTAACCTGCATGTATTCATCAGCTTCCTCACTGCTGAAAGCACCCGAATTCCTTAACAGATCACAGAAGCAAACAGCAATACAACCATCCACATTCAAGATCAGGGTGTCTTTCTTCGAACTCGTCACATCTTCAACTGCCAAAGCATAATCCAGCATCTCGACACTGGGAAAGTTCTTCTTGGCGAAATCTTTGACCAATTCGACTCGCATGTCTGGATTGGCTTTCGACTTGATCTTGTGGCCGATCCCTGGAATCAATTTGTTGGCTCGTCGCATCGAGTCGACGAATTCTCGTGGGGTCAGTCCGGTATCCTTGGCACGGGAAAATTCACGTGCAGCTCCATCCAAGGCCCCACCAAATCGGTCTCCAATGGTCAATAAACCGGCGACCAGCGAGCTCACCAAGTCCTTGCCGGCACGTGTGGTAATGACGGTCGTCATTGCTCCAGATACAGCCGGTCCATGATCGGCGGTGAGTTGCAAGCACATCTCGAGGAACTTGCAAGCATAGGGTGGCAACCGTCGTTTGAACCTTTGAGGACGAGGTGTAACTTGATCAGTATCACTAGCATTAGACGCCCTGTGTGCCTAAGATCAACTCACCAGAGCAATGAAATGACTCCTCCTACACCGATCTCCTCCTTGAAAACATCAGTGATGGGCATGCCAGCATATAACAGCTCAGCGCCCCGCTCGTCAGAAATCGTTGAGATGAATGCAGCGGGTTTTCGGACCATTCCCAACTCTTGCGCCCACTTATAATCAACAGGAATGTTTGGAGGATCCCTCTCTGGGCTGGGCTTGATGGTGCCGTCCTTGACAAGACCCGTGTAGACTTTTTTCAATGCCGCCGGAAGATCTTCAAATGTGTCCGGAACGATGAAACCGGCAGCGCGCATAGCCTTGTTCTTGGCATCGGCGGTTTCCAAGTCCGAGTTGGCCATCGAACCCGCATGCCCGAATTGAACCTCGGTGGTGAACATCTTGGCACAGGTTCCAATGGCCCATGCAACGATCGGCTTCTTGATCTGTCCAGACTTGACAGCCTCGATCACACGGTATTCTTCAACGCCACCTACTTCACCAAGCAACACCAACATTTTGCAGTTGGGGTCTGCTTCGTAGCGGAGCATGTGGTCAATGAATGTGGTTCCAGGTAGCGATCCCCACCGATGGCGATACTTCGTAAGTCCCGTTGGTCGTGAGAGAAAGGATGTTGTTGAGCTCATTCGACATTCCACCCGACTTGGAAACATAGGCTACTGATCCGGGGCGGTAGAGCTTGGAAGAGATGATGTTGTCCATCATCCCACCAGTGTTGCCGATTCGGAAGCAGCCGGGCTTGATACCACCAACAGTCGCAGGACCGATAATGATAACCTTCTTCGTTTCTGCTAAATGGAGGATCTCTCGGGCGTGTCTTTCAGGAACTCCTTCGGCAATCAGGGCGATCGATTTGATTTGGGGAATCTCAAGCGCATCGAGAGTAGATTGGTAAACGGAACGGGATGAGGAAAAGTTCACAAGGGTATCGGCTTCGGGATGCTTTTTGACAGCCTCGGCAATCGTGGCGTAAACAGGGAGAAGAGTTTCCTTTGTGCCCCAGTAAAACTTTTGAACGTGGTGGCCGCCAAATGGGTAGATCATAGCTGCTACCGAGGGTTTCTTGCGACCACAGGCAAAGTCAAAATCGAGCATTCCTTGAATAGCTCGAGGCTGGAGTCCATAGACCAAACCGCGAGTGGTTTCATCGAATGGGCGGAACCAAGGGCGTTCGGCAGGAGCTCCTTGAGCAAACGAGACGACACCATGCTCTTCTCGGCTTTCAGGAACCACTGTGGCAGCGAATGATTCTGGGGCTGTGGGTGAGGCGACAGACTTCACTTCGGGGGCCGTCTTGTGGTTGGTGGTGCCATTTGGGCCGCTGTGGACGCCATTCGACATGGGTTTAGAGATTCCGAGAGCCATGGGGACAATCGATGATATGTGGGTATCAGGCTAAATGGTGCAGCCAAAACAAACGAGTCAACAACCCGGCCAGATGTGATATAGTAAAACGTGAGTGAGTCTACGTACTCCAAAGACTTGTATTTCAATGCCGAGGGTTTCACCGATGAGTCGCATTTTCTTCAATCCTTCTTGGTAATTTGGTCCACCTCGTCGGACAAAGATTTTCACTCTATGGCGTTGCAGACCTTCCTTGTAGTTTTTGAGGGCATCGATGATACCGCCAAAGGTAGCAGCGACGTTGGTGAAGTTGGCGATACCCCCACCGATGATCAAGACCTTGCCTTCAGGATGAGGCTCACCGCGGGTCATCAAATCGAGAATGGTCTTGGCATATTCGAAGGTCTGGCTCTTGGTCGGGGCGCCCGAGTATTCTCCGTAATTGGCAAGTTCGTGAGCAAAACCATGGGCAGCAATGGCATCGCTGAAACGATAAACAGCGTTGAAAAATACATTTTCAGACAGAGTCAGCGCCGCAATCCAGAAAACCAAAAAAAAAAACTAGGCAATGGTTCGGAAATGACACCTACGAGTAGACAACGGAAGCACCGCCACCAGCGACCATAGTCCAGACTCGGCCGTGTGCATTGAGTACGGTAAGCTTGAGTGATGCCCCGGTACTGGCATCTAACTTTTGGATATAGGCTTCCTCCTTGGTGAGGTCACGTCCAAACGGAGCTGGGAACACCATTGGGGGCCCACGGTCGGCAAAGGTCTTGGTGCCATTGACAGCGCCGGAAGTCTCACGACCGATCGCCCATTTGGCCCCGCATAGATAGTCGGCTGTTTGATCCAGTTTGGCAGCCATGTCGAGGAAGGCGATCGAAGGGGAACCATCGGCAGCCTCCATGCACACGAGGGGGTTGATTTCGAGGTAGGTATAGTGGAGATCGACATAGGTCGAGTAGAGTCGGACGAGGAAATCCACCAGCGCGTCCTGGCGGTGAGAAGGAACAGCGGCGAGAAGACCGGCCTTGAGTTGGGCTCGGTCTGGTAGATCGCCATCCACTGGGACTGTGATCTTGGCCGCTTTGGCATCGACGTCACCAATATCCACACCGCCCTCGTGGGTAAAGAGGATCATATCGCCCTCTCGTACGGAGTTGATACACACGTAGTATTCGCTGTTAAGCAGCCAAAAACATCAATGAATCGTTCAACAAGCATCGTACCACCACTCAAAACAAAATCCGACTTACGTATCTGATGGGTGAGGGGCAAAGGGTTCGACGATAAAGGTGTTCAAAGTGCCAACGACGCCTTCGACATTGACGGGCTTGCCAGCGCGCTCCTGGATCCATGCCTTGGCTTCCGGCCAGGTCTTGTTGAGACCTAAGAGACCTGCCTTCCCACGACGCTTGATGAGCTGGTCGGGCTTGACGACCAACTTCTCGCTGAAGACCCATGAGGGCAGACTGCTGTCGGGGGTGATGGTGTTGGATTGAGGGTCCCAGGAGATCTATTTATAGGAAACCAACCAGGCAGAGTCAGCCACCCCTTCAAAAAAAAGAAACTTCGATCGAGTGGATGACATCATCACAGCCATTTCATTCTCGATCGGCGACCCCAAATGCATGATGTGGGGAAAGAGCAAACATGGCTGACTAAGAAAGGAGCTGAAAGAAAAGAAAGAGGAGAATGCTTACTTGAGCCACTTTGACCTCAGGCGCCTTGAATTCGGGTCGGGCAGGGCAAGCCTTGCCGAACTGGGGAGCCCGGCCGAGGAAATGGGCAACCAGCAGTTTAGCGTCATACTCGCGAATGGCTGAAATGGTGGCAAGCCGACCGAGCAAAACCGAAAATGTGAAACCGAGCGAGCAAGGACGAGTTGGGCGATCGAAGGTATCAGAACAAGATCCAAAACAATCAGAGTGGTCAGTGCTGTACCATCAGAGCTGTGGGGTAGAGTAGAAAGGGATGGGCCAAGCAGCTTCACTATCTTTCCGAAGAACAAACCTTTGGCAGACATCACCGCAGGTTTTCTAGCAGATTAAGTGGTGGAAAATATAGTAGAATGGCTGCAGAAAAATTATCAAAAAACGTCAAATGATGATTGGTCCTGAGGGAAGGTAAAATGTGAAGAATATCTCAGAGTGGGAGGGGAAGTAGGGGCTCACAATAGGTGGATTGGTCTTGAAAAGTGATGGGTAAATCGCAAGTTGGAGGTTGGCCAATGTGCAAATGATCGCTATGTGCCCCAATGAAATTCGGTTTAAGTTTCCTTGGGAATCTGCTCTGTCTCGGTGAGGGTGCTGCTAATTGCCAGCTGCGCCGCCCTGTGAGCCCAACGGAGTGTAAATTGCAACTTCCCACCAACACAGCCTGGCTCCATGCAATTCTGCATCTTCAAGAATCATAACCTCATCACAACAACCGCTTGATTAAGTTATCTCCACTGTAATCTGAGTACATAGCAGAACAGGATAAGAAACTTTTACATACAGAAGTGCCTAGGAGAGAGGGAACCTAAAGGAACAATGGGAAATGAGATTGTGCCACAGGGGCAGAAAACTCAGCGATTTCTTTCCATGTTTGACGGAGACTTATCTTTGTCACCGTCACTTCGTCGCACTTCATGTCTGTCCAAATGCCAAAGACCGAAGCATCACACGAGTCCTCATGAGCCATCCAGTCAGACTCTAACCTTGATTGCGAGTTTCAGAGTGCAGAGAGGTCATTATACACAACAACTGACACCATCCCGCTCTCTTATCTTTGAGCAGTTTGTTGGCACTCCTACAATGTTATAGTATCTGCAAAAACGGACAACAAATTCAGTTGTGCTCACGCCGCATGACTGAGCGATATGTAAGCTATGTAAGGCCCATGGGTGTACCATAACCTCATCTTAATCAACCAGAATCCTTCGACCCTAAACTTGATGATGAAGCCCATGACAACACTCGATGCCATCAAAGTTTAGACTCGAGCAATGGAAGTCTTCCTGATTATTTAGTATTACAGCACTGGAGTGGGCTCAGGTGGAGATATCAAAGCTTTGCACCCGATCCGGCCAAGCCGCTAAACTGCCGGGTTCCCTGGTAATCAACTTCTCCCAAGATGGAGAAATTGAGAGTTTTCTGATGTACTATCTTTTTGGATACCTTCTTTAGTTATACCACAGTCCAGCTTGGGCCCAATCAAAGTACAGCCTAAGCAAGACCTTTTCATGTCTCTCAGTGGCACAAATTGTGAAAGAGTTGTCTGTATGAGAGGATGTCTGGGCCCCTAAAAAATAAAATCACATGAAACAAAACTCTACAAATATTCTGAAGGGGGAGATTATTTCTGGTTTTTGAACTTTCAAAATAAAGTAGGATCTGATCAATGATCATGAATAAACATCCCAAAATAATACACATTTTTCAAAGAACAGAATTGTAGAAAATCAATAATAGATAACTTGATTCAAGTGAGCTGCTTTTTGGATCCAAAATGAATTGAAAATCCTACTTGAACATCTGTCTAATTTCCTTCAAAACATGCAGGTTTTTTTTTAATTTATAAACATCAAAATTGGCAAAAGGAAGTTCAGAATCCAAAGCTTTGACCATACTGACCTGTGTATCTCAGGCCCCATTTGGCCATTGGTAATCTGTAATTTGAAGGCAAGTTTTAGCGCAAGTTGGTGCAAAAATTTCATATTGCATGGTCCAAATCCATGACAAACCTTGGCCGAAGCACATACAGCTATTTTGGAAAGGGTTGTCCACTTGGACTCGGGAAATCTTTTTTATTTTTTTATTTTTTTTATTTTCTATTTTTTTACTGAACTGGACCTGTCAGAACTGAACTAGTGATGACAGCTGTACCTCCTCGGCTGTAGTTCAGTACAAAGAAAAATTTAAAAATTTTCAAAAAAAAAAAAAAAATTGCAAGAGACAACTGGACAACCCTTTCCAAAATAGCTGTATCATGATTTGCGGCCAAATGGGGCCTCAAGTGGATGATTTCCATGGCTACAGTTGTGTGGCTATACCAAAATTGTCAAATTTAAGTGGATGTTTCCTTGCTCAGTGGCTCACGTTGATGGTGTTTAGAATTCAGGAAGTTTGCAAAAATCCAGGAGGTACAGTGGGTAGACAGTGAAAAGTGGCTGCTTATTTTGGATTCCAGAGCTCCAAAACACAAGTTTGAAATCATGAGACTTGGTCAGGTGGTGCATAACACGTTGTAGAGTTAAGTGTTGCATAACTGTATGCAACACCCAGACTACTGTTTGATGGGGCCGCGGGAGTGCAACCCCAAGTGCTGCAACATTGAATCACCACGGGGATCTGTCGCAGCAATTCAAGCTGATCAATGTCACGACACTTGACACTTTTGCAGACCTGGCTGCTGATATGTCACAGCATGTCACTGGTGAAGGGCTGGGTACATGCACATGTCCATTCATGTTATTCCCTCTATGGGGGGCTTGTGTGGGGCTATTCAAGCCCCTAGGCCTGGAAGCTGGGGTCTTGCTTGAGAGGCTTGCATTAGGCCACCCTGCCACAGCCCAAACATAATCCTGTGACAGTTGAAACGACAGCTTGCCTGTCGCATCAAACTTTTGAAATTTCCGGCGGGTTGCTTGTTGCAGGACTATGTAACCCCCGGGTGTCGCACAGAAAAATGTGACACTCAACTCTACACCGTGTAATAGGTCTCAAAAATTCCACCTCTCAGTGCCCCTGTTCTGTCTTAGCCCCTCCGCAGTGTATGCTAACCCCGGTCTGCAGTCGGCCGTGAACCCTGAAGTACGCCAGTGCCCAGATTCCCTGCAGTAAGCTTTCAGAACCTTGTGCATTCAGCCCTGCTCAGCCCGCACTTCTCACGCCCCAGAAAGCTTGACTTTCTACTTGTGCACCACCGCTTTCCTCAGCCTGCCTGCATAGCGTCATCTCTGAATTCTTCCTTGTCA